AATATTCACATTGTAAACTGATCCTTAATGGTTGAAATGCTGCCACAGGAATCATTATGATTAGTCATTCCTGATTGTTCTTTTTTCTTTGTGCGGCTCCCAGACCTCAGCATCCAGGGGGAAACCCACGACAGCATAGAGGACGCCCGCACCGCTCTGCAACTGTACAGGAAGTACCTGGAGCTGAGTCGTGGAGGTGGGACAGACGAAGTGAGGAAGGTCCTGAAGGGACTCTACGAAAAAGGCCGCCAGATGGACTGGAAAGTCCCAGAATCGGACACAGGAGATGGTCAAGGTAGCCCAAAAAGTACGACATACGTTTGAATTAGGTGTAGGCTGATGGCAATGAACTAACAATGGGTTTAGATGGGAGGGTTGATGAGAAACCGATTCCGCCTGAGTGGATTGAAAGCACTCTTCTTCCTTTAACAGGTGCTGCTGTGTTTCCCTCTGTGATGGGGCTGTGAGCCGCACCGTCACCTGTTCCCACTGGAGAGTTTTCACTGATGACTGATAGTTCAGTTAGTGTCATATTTTCTACTTATTTGCATTTATTTTTGCATTGTGTACAGTGTTTATGATGGTCTTTGTTGCCTGTACAGCACACATGCTCAAAAAAACTGTTTTAATCATGTCAATGTCAAATCACTTTTCATCAAGGAAAGGAAATAAATTTGTATTTTATGATTTTTTAGTGCCTTTTTAATAAAAAACAAGCAGTGTGTTATTTGGTGCATGTAAATAAATCATGAGCACCAGAAGATGCATCGTGTTTGCTACCAGGAAGTGGGGAATATATTTTACATTAATACATAATAGCTTCCCAGGTTTTTGTGAAGTTTGTAGTGTTATGCTTGCTTGGTCTCAAATTTGCCTGTTCATTTTCCTGACAGGTTTGATAATCGTTCCCAAGTGGTCTAAATTCTCCATTAGCAATTCAAACATTTTTACATGGATTGGAAATTTTAAAAAATGAAAATGAATTAAAAACAAGGACAAAGTCACTGTTATACAAATGGTTTACAATCGTATGTTCCAACGTATTCACCAGTAATATAAACAAACATGAAGCCTCAAGTCTGGATGGCGTACATTGTCATATTACAGATAAACAGTTCTTTAAAATATGTTTCTGAAAAGATTTTATGCAAGAAATAGGCAACGCAGTAAAAGAATCTTGCTTTGTATTTGATCAGCACTAGTTTGATCTGAGTTTGGTGCTTTGAGCTGGACGGACTGTCAATCACAAGGTAGCCCCGCCCTAAAGCATACCCAGCTTTGTCTATTTTACTCTAAATTGGACCATAATTTATATTATCAACATCATGCTCTATGGAAAGACTTGAAACGAGTGATTGAGACTTTTAACTCATATGGAAATTTTATTGAGCTCATAAAATTAGGGTAATTTCTCCATAAGACTCAATACTATCTGACTTTTTATTGCAGCCAATGGAGCTGCGCCCTGCTGGCCATTACATAGAAAACAGGTGTAAGACACTTCTACGTTGCTTCACTTCTACGTTGCTTCACTTCACAGACCTTTGTATATATATACTGTAAATGATTCAAATCCACACCCACTTTCTCCCAACGATTTTACTCAAGAAAAATAGATTAAAATAATTTAAATGAATATATTATAAATTCGGTCGACCCATCAACTGATATAAAAAGTTGATCCTTGCTCCCCACTTCTGATGAGAACCTTTTTAGGTTGTACATGATTTCACATGCAACGAACTGCCGTGTGAACGAGGAGAGTAATCTTTTATCCAAATAGCAGCAGTCAGGACGCATCCCAAAAAAAAAAAAAAAACAGGAAGAGGATCTTCTTTCTTTAAGGAGAACTGTTTCATCCTAGAAATTCCACATTGAACACTTAACACCGTGTTTCTAGCTGTGACCAGCTCAGATGTAGGAAGTTTGGGCTATGTGTAACAATCTGGGAAAGCATTACTATTAAGGTGACTAATCCTCTCAAATGAATAATGACGTCTGCAGAGAATTTTTAAAATGACCTAATATTTGTATTTCTAAACCTTTGTAGGCCAGATGGATGTTCATCTTCCACCTGAAATCCCAAAATCTGTGTCTCATTATTCTTTAACCAGAACAGTATCGGTCTTATTATTTCTGTTTTAGAGGGTTATAAGTTATAGAAATATCTTTTGCAGCTATTCTTGTAGATATAATATTGTTGTTTCATATCCACTGATGCATATTTATAACTTTAAAACTGATCTTTGCAAACATGATTTTTATAAATTTGTACAGTCAGTGGATTCATTTAGTTCTCCCTTTAAACGTTTAGTTGTTCATCCGGCCTCAAATTCCCCTCCGGATTGTTTTTTGACTTCACCTGCTTTGCAGCCGTTCTTGGGAAGAAACTTCCTCTTCAACACTTTTGCATCTTTGATGAATTTTTGCATAGAAATGTCAAATGTCACCAGGAGATGAACTTCATTTTCATCTCTTTGTTGACGAGTTTGCGATGTACATTCAGAGCTGATTAGAGTGGGAATTCTCATTGATGTGTCCTCAACCCAAAAGGCCAAAGAACCACCCACAACTAGTTTTTAAAGTTTTCACTCTGATGTTCAAGCTGCTCCTGTATTCTCATTACAACATCAGCATCTTCTGAAAACAAAGAATAAATATACACAGTATTTTACTTTTCTTAAAACTCTCTAAAATCAGATCTGAAGACAACACAGTGTTATCTCATTAACTGAATTCTATATATTATATATTATATGTTATATCTTAACAGTCTTTTTGACCCCCACACTCTGTTATATACATTTTCTAACTTTTATACCTTTTTATGTCTGATTACAGTAGAGGTAATGTTGCATTTACGGGAAACACATCCATGTGTGGCACAGCGCCAGATACATTTGAATATTTAACCACTTTTAAATCAATATGACATGTTGGGGAAAAAACACAATAGTGTGCTCTTATTGACGGTTTAACAAGATTTTTTTTCATTTTCGATTTGTTGCCTCTTACTACTTTCTATCTGATAGGATAATGCCCCTACTACTCTGTGATGGAGCGGTATTATGCAAAATGCTGGTCAGTGCTTTTGATATCTACTAATACTTACTGGCATCGATGGACACAAAGTACATTTTATGGTCTAAAAGGGGTCAAAGGAACCTGATAGCTGATGGTGAGGACTGTGACATTTTTTTTAAAACTAAGAATTATTCATTTTTGCCATTTAGTGTAGAGTGGAAGTGAGGAACAGGAGGAAATAAACACATTGTATTTCATATGCAAATATAGTATTACATTTATTTGGCAGCTTTAGTGATGTTTCAGATATAACATATAAATAAAGGATTATCTTACGCTTATAAAATACAATACATTGCTGAGGATTAAGTGAGAGTGATCTCTTATTAATAAAGCAGTGTCTAATTGGGGCACCTCGTCATGTTTGAGAGCTGTTGTAGATCCAAAGAGAGATCGCCCCTCAAAACCTCTCACATAGTTTCATTTAAATAAATCCAATATTTCAAAAAATCAATAGAAAAACTTTTAAAAAATGAACACAAATGTTTGGATCACATTGTTTTTTCTTCATTCCTTTCCCATTGATCATTTCACAACTCCCTCAGATTCATCTGGTGACCCACTGAGGGGGGCATGAGCCCTAGATTGGGAACCGCTGGATTAATCTATCATTCTTTATAAAGTAGATGAGCTAGCTCTACATCAACCAACATTTAATTTATCAGGTCCAGGGGACATTGTACTGCGTGAATGTTTTGGATACTTCACAACAGCAGCCCTCTTGTTTAAGTAGGATTATTTTTTTTATCTTTAATTTGTAACAGAGTAGAAGTAAACATACATTGTTTTATTCGTACTGTTGCTTAAAAGATCTGAATACATTTGCCAGCAAGTCCTTTAAAGAGTAATGGTGCCCTCTGCTGGCTGTACAGCTGCTGTGTGAACTATGCATTAAGGATTAATAGCTCTGATCTAATTTATCCCCATTACCTTCAATTATTGCATTTATTGATTAATTTATTTGCAAAGGACTTGAGAACACTGTTGGAAAGTTCAGTGTTTCATACATTTATTAACACGTTTTGTTTAAAACTAAGTGAACAGTAACTTCAGGGCTCCCACTCTTCTTAACAAATCATTTTCCAGGAGTTTTCTCTACATTACAGCACTTCATAGAATTTACAGGTCAGCCTAGTATTGACACAGTTAACTGCAGTTTTATTCCAACTTGTTTAATGATGCAGGTTAATGAAGTCTCAGGTTCATCACAGGTAGGTCAGCACTTGAGACGGTTCACGTTGATCAGCTTAATGTGACGGTTTTTCCGCTGCGTCTCCAGTGAACTCACTACATTTTACAAGTTTTCCTCTCACAGGAAGTTACTTTGGCCACAGGCCGTAAGTAACTGTTCAAATTAAGTAGAATTTATTTGACAGAAAATTAATCTTCTCACTTATTAGCCCATTAAAAGAAGTAGACGTGTTTGTTATGCAATTAAAATTGATGTGTATGTTTATCAACGACAATAAGAAGACATTTCTCCACTGGGCTTTCATGAGGATACTGATACTCCGGCAAAAATAGACGTGATGACGAAAAGATTGTCCCATGTCTGGTAAACCTGCCTCCAAGTGTCATCTTACGCTACCAAAAACGTGGACGATTTGAGTGAGGGGAAGTGCAATTAAAAGCTTTCCAGGACAACACAGAATATTTAAATCAATTTCCAGGTGTTTCCATAACTGGAAAACTAGTCTCTGAATCTCCAGATTTTTCCAGGATGATTGGGAATCCTGAACTTGCAGCATCTGGACTCAAAAGCAGGAAATATGTTGATGAATTACTTCAAACCCCTGCAGCCAGACTGCTGGACATTCCCTGGATCACTTACCGACTTTAGAGACGCTGTAAAACCTCACTGTTAACTCTGCTTCAGCTCATGTGAACGCAACTACAAAAGAAACAAACATACACAGTCAGTATTGCAAACTGTTTATTCGTAGTAAATGAAAAGTGTGCAATTCAGTGAGTGGGAGAAAGAGCAGAGAGGGGTTGTCGGGGACGGTCGATGTCTTTGGTCCATATTTTGGTGGAGGGGATGTCAATGAATTGGTGGGAGACAAGAAAAGGCACTTGAGTTTACAGTTGTCTCAGAAAGGTTGTCTTGAGTAGGACTCCGGGGGGAGGGGAGGGGAGGGGGGGAGATCTACTGGAAGATGATGCTAGATGTTAACCTCCATTATGACTAATATGAATATCACATACAAAATGCTCCATGTGAGCACAAAATTATATAGCTACATATATGTATATACAGTAAGGAATCAGGAAAATTAAGAGCGATAGAAGGAAGAATAAGTGAAGTGTTGGATTTATCCCCTTTGGAATTCTTTACAGGCAGAGGAAGGAAAGAAAGAAAAAAAAGGCAGCAACAGGACGAAAATCATTTCTTTGGCGATAACCTAATATTCCTACAGTTTGGAATGTAAAACAAAAAGAAAAAAGTGAGACAGACAAAATCTCAGATGAGAAAAAAAAACTACTATCTTTGAGTCTTGATTGAACAAGTTCAGCACCTCTAACTTCTAGAGATAATGCTGGAATAAAAGATGATTTGTTTATCACCTGTCCTGCAGCTTTGATTAATTCAAACCATCATTAAGCAGAGTTGTGAAATGTGGTACATTGTTGTCCCCCACCCCCCCACCCCCCCACCCCACAACGTCGTCAATCAAAGTCTTGGTGACATTATAAAGTTACCGCCTCTGAAAGCACTTTAAGGAATAATTTGACATTTTAGGAAATAACACTGCTTTCTTACTGCGAGTATATAGTGTGTGTGTTCAGCCATTACTGTGGTGGCAACTCGCACCGACTGCTGAGTGTGACAGCAGCGAAAGGTAGTTGGTTTAATGTTAGGCAGTGGCCCCCAGTTAATGAAGAAGGTCCCTTATATGGCCGGCGATTTTAGCTTTATTCACATTTTACATATTAGTTAGACCCAAACTTTTTCCCTTTGGAGGGCCAAAACTGAAACTGCATCACATCACAGACCAATTATACTAATAAAGAAATCAAATCACTCTTCATGAAGTAAAGGCTCGGGTGTTTCTCATTCGGTTTTTAGTAGCTGATAAGTGCACAGGTTCTTCCTGATTTCCTAAACATCTTTGTAAAAAGTAACATTATAGAAAGTAAATGTGATAAGAAGAAAACTGTACACTTCTTATGACAGCTTGCAGTCAAACGTGTACATGTTGTACGGGGACGCCACCACAGTAATGGGGACTAAAAGGAGAAATTTGTGTCAAAATAAGACGACTGATTCCACATATGATGATACTAGAGCAGCCAGTTAGCTTAGCAGAAAGACTGGAAACAACTCCGTCTACAAAGGAAACTAAATCTGCCCACCACACTTAGAGCTCACTAATTAACATTTATGTTTCTTTGTTTAATATGTACAAAAATAGTGTCAAAATGGCAATGTGCCGTTTTATCATAAGCAAATAAGTAGTGTAGTGTTGCGTCTTCTTTGCCTTATTGCGGTGCGCCAAGCCGTAATGGGCTCGTTACTGCCCCCTGAGGCTGGAAAACACCCACTGCAACTACAAGTGGTGAAGAACTGCAGCCACACGGGGCAACAAGGATCTTTGCAACACAAAAGGTGAGATTTAAGTTTTATCGGAAGAGATTTCAAACAGTAAGAAAGGCATTGAGGGCATTTCCCTAAAATGTTGAACTACTGCTTTAAGTCAAAAGGTAACTTATTTATGTGTCTTTACAGCACATATTTACCAAAGACTGCTAAGATGTAAGCACTCTTTTCTCCACAATATTAACTAATATAATTACGGGAATAAAGATTTTTTTTTTTTAAATCTCAAATAATATGAAAAATCTCCCTATGATCAGAAAACTCAAGAGAAAACAAAAAGGGGAAAAGGGAAATAACATTTTAATTTCATTTTTTTCCCCCCAAAAAAAAGTCTGCACGAGGGAAGACGACACATGATGAAGAAGATGCAGCAATAATGTAACAACCAGTTTTACACTACAGCCTTTGCAGCTCCACCAACTGTATGTACATAACTACAAGAAGATAAGTGATGAGGAATCACCAGGGGTCCCTGTCCCTTAATAAGAGCCCACTGTGAGAAAACAGGCCGTGTCAAAAGATCAGCAATGAGGTATTCACCTGCTTTTTGTTCTCAAACCGTGGACACTACGATGAGACTTGACCCCCAACAACAGCCTTGAAGCATCTACTTGGCAGCCGTAGAAAAGAAATCTGTGACATCAATACAACCTTTCCAATGCAGTTTGATCAATTTTACTTTCACAGACGGGATAAAGTGAGTGTATAAAAAAAGGGGAAGAAAAAGATCTTGCATCTTATTCTCACACATATATTAATAAGTCACACGTCTCGCTCTACCAGTACCATCTGATTAGAAAGCCGTCATGATGCAGACATCCAAGTCTCTAGAAAGGCAAATGTGAAGTCTCTCTGTGACTAAAAAGGCAAGCACGTCATTAATATGCCATTCGTGTGCATTTAACAACAAAAACACAAAAGGAGCAAACAGTGCGCGTGGAAGAAGATCCATCGGAATAAATGTCGAGAACTATAAAACAGCATGTGGACAGTTTCCTTTCTTTCGAGTTTTAACGTATCATTTAACAGCATTCCACAACACAAATAATAATCAGCCCTCTCTTGGTTGTAAAATAATGAACAGCAAGCCGAGAACAACAGCATTCAAGATAACTCCGTTGGCCAGTGGGAGGGCGATACGTCACTGACCGAAGACAACATTTAAAGGAGTAGTTCGACACCTTGGTGAAATGGGGCAATTTACTTCCTTGCAGGGAGTTAGATGAGAAGCTTGATACCACTCTCACATCTGTGTGGTGAGTACGAAGCTCCAGCCAGCAGCTGATTAGATTATCTTAGTTTACTTAGACGTCCAGGGAAACAGCTAGCTTGGCTATAACCTCCAGTAAAGCCACAAGTTGTAGTTTCAACACTTCAGTCTTTGTAGAAAATAAACAAACAAGATAGAAAGTGTTCATTAGTGAGCTTCTGAGGCGCTTGTAGGCGGACTCTGTTACATTAGGACAGAAAACAAAAGCCTTTTCCAGTCTTTATGCTAAGTGTATGCTGGCGAGTTTCATATTTAACATACAGACGTGAGAGCGGTATCGATCCGTCTCATCTAACTCTCGACAAGAAAAGCAATGACCTATTTCTCAAATGTCAAACTATTCCGTTAAGAGGGCAACCTCTGCGTTCAGAGATTTACTCTCAAAGACAAAAACCGTTAAGTTCCCCTAATGTTTGTAGCAGCCATACAAAAAAAAAAAAAAGCTCTGGATTACAGTTTGATATGTTTTCATTTTCTACCTTTTAAAGATTAACGATAAGTCTGTAGTGTTGATTGCATGTCTTCTATCCTGATGACAAAATTCCCTGTTAATGTTAGAACTACGTTTGTACTTTCACTACACTTTCCACAGTGAAGGCATTGAAATGGTTCTGGGAAACAAAAAAAGAAAAAGATTTGAGGTGCAAATCAGAGAGCTGACAAAAGCCACAGCAAAAATAGAAATAGTACTAAGAGTTCAACCTCAATAGTGCACAAATTGTTGCAGGTAATCCTGTCAGTCTGCTTAACTGCCGAAATTAATAACAGATACTGACAATAGCATAGCAATGAGACCTCTCAAAAGGGGGGGGGGGGCTAAAGATAGAAGCTGTTACCTTAACCAGGATGGGCGAAATGCAAAAGGAAGAGCGATTACAGAACAGTTAGAGCTTTTCAAGTTTGAGGGATGAACGGGTAGATGCAGAGAGGTGGCACTACAGCTCAACTGACAGAAATATGTAAACTTGTATTCTATTCTTCATTGAAAGGAGTTAGTAGGAGGGGGTGGGGTGGGGGGGGGGGGGTGTAGGGTATGGGCGCGGGAGTGCAAGGGTTAGTAGATGGGGGTGATTGAGAACGCGGGTTTCCAATGTCAAGGGCAGTGCGTCCGGGGAGGCCTTTGGGGCAGCCCGTTGTGAGAGGGTCGTTCTTGGTTGTAGGAGGACGTGGAGGAACGGGAGGGACCTCTTGAGTTGTTAGAGTGCTGTGAAGTAGGACCAGAAGAGCCGCCGTCACTCTGATAGCGGTGGTTAGTGCGACCGGCGTTCCTGTCGTGGTAGGAACCGCCGTTATACCGCTGATACCCTTGTCCCTGGAAAGTACGCCTGTTGCCCTGGAAAATCTGAGAGGAGAATTTATATTGAAAAAAAAAAAAAAAAAGTTAGTCAGCAGCTAAGAATTATTACAACATCTGTGAACTGTGGGTGGTTTTATGGTCTGTTTGCCAAACACAACTGCTTTTCCAGCTGACCTGTTTGTTTGGTGGAGGGCGGTTTTCACTGGGGGTGCTTTGGGTCTGGGTGGGTGGAGGAGGAGTTTCAAGCAGGCTCGGGCTGGCAACAGAAGAGGACGTGGAGCTGCAACGGGACCGATTTGAGTAGCCTGTACGCGGATGATAAACTGTAAAAGAAACAACAACAACAATCACTGACAGTACAACCTGGGGCTTGCATCATTTAGGATTAATTAAATGGGGAAGGGGAGTATAAACAATAATAAAAAGAAAGATAAAACTAGAATACCGTACCTGATCCAAACCCTGAGATGCTCGTCTTCAGCGGTTCAAGATCAAATGTAAATCTTACAGCTTTCCCAAGGTCCTCGTCATATTTACGCTCACTGACAAAGTGCTGCGAAAAAACAAGCAGGTGAATGTGTGTTTAATTAGCTGTTTTCTTTCAATTATTTCTGCTTGTGGTTCACCTTGGAAAAGACAAAAACTCCAAATACAAATGAACTTTTTAATTTGCTTTCCATGGTGGATGAATGATTAACACCCAATCCACTGTGTATTCAGAGCGAGAGACAGACGAGGCCAAAACTGGAGCAGCAGTATTGTCTAAGTACCTTGATGTCTGCACGCAGTTCAGTCAACTGTTCCTCAGACATTGACGCCGACTGATCTGTCAGCCGTCTGAGCTCCTCTGCTCTCTTCTGCCGGGCGTCCAAAATCAACACTGAAACAACAATGTGATGTTTAACAGATATGCACGATGTCCTTGTTCCAGACTGCACTAAATATTCTGACAGATTATGTTCTATTAAGGGGCAACAAACTATGTAATTAAATATCTTTTACATGTCTGTTAGGAATAATCATTATGGCTGCAACTAATGATTATTTTCAAGTTCTTTGCTTAACTAATCGTTTGGTCTATAAAAAAAACTTAAGATATTCAGTTTACTATCACACAGACAAAAAATAAAATCGGCAAATACAATAATTAGAAAATATTTGGCATTATGCTTTAATGATTAATAGATGCTCAAGTTAGCTGCTCCATTATAATTTTCTGTCGATCGACTCATCAATTAACCAACTAATCCTTTTAGACTTCTAATCGCATTAAGTTTCATTTTCCTGTGAGAACTCAGCTGTGCTCTTTTGAAATGTACAGTACAAAGTACAGCTGACTCAGCATCTAAAGGTAAACAAGGGTCACAGATAAAAGATACCATGTATGTGCTAATGTGAAGGCCCATAAGTAACTGACATTAGTGTCACTCAACACTGAACGCCCAGTTACGTGTATTTTAGTTTCAGCCCTGAATGTCAAACAGAGCATTTAAATCAACATACAGTCTACATGCACAGTGTTACATGTCTACACATTATGTGCTCTGACTGCTGCTGTAGGAGAGAAAACGCTGAGCAGAAAAGCATCTCTGCTTCTTCTATGATAGATATCTCCCTGTATGATGCTGAATATCGGTGAAAAACAGAGAATTTAATTTCTGTACCACCTCATAAAATATCAGACTCCCCATGTACTACCATTATGGCCAATAAAATACAATAAAGTACAGTAAAATACAGCAGTGAAGGCTCTTCAGCTACTGACAGTTCACACAGGAAGCAGGTTGAATCCTAAATGGAAGCAGGTCAAGAACCAGAGCTAATTTGGTGGGAAAGAGGGTACTCCTGCTCCACACTTCTCTTCCCATAGTTCCTGTTTGGAGACGCGATTGCAGTGTTTTTGAACCTTTAATTTTTACCTCTGCTTACTATCTTGCCATCGGTTAATAACTAATCATGGATAACTAATCACAGATGTACGAGTGTGCTATGTGCATGAATGTGACTACATTGCAGATTATTTCCTGTTGAGGGAACTTTTTATACAATTCTCGGTCTGTATTATGTATTTTTTTGACAAAAGTCTATTCTTGTCTCTAATGCTTGCCCATTGTTCTATTAGACAATTTACTCTAGATTTAGTTCTTTACAGAAGTGATCCAAATGCTGAGATATAGGCCTTCTGTGTATATATTGTTTTGGTTTTCTTACAATCAAGAAGGCCTCACGACCCCCCACAAAGCTTTGTCACCTATTTTGATTAATTGATTAAGCCATTTTTCAAGCACAAATACCAAACATACACTGGTTCCAGTTTCTCTAATGAGTTGTTGTCTTTATATGATTATATAATGTTATATGAAACCAAATCCTTTTGGTTTTTGGACTTATATAAACAACAGATTATTCCATAAACAACAACCAGCTACAGTACTGCTACCTACAGTGAGGATCAGTAAGGATCATTCTATCCGGGTCTGCACTAAACAATACTGAGAACGTTTTGTTTGGATTATTTAATTTTCCATCAGTTAACACCAGTGTAACACAGGAAGTAGATTAGTAGGAGGTAAATTTTGAGGAAACCTGGCTTTTGTAATGTCCAAGAAAAACTAGAGTTTCTTCGCTTTCCTCTCAATTCCCCGCACACCTTGCACAAAGACAGCATTGAGTCTCCCTTGACACCTGACACTATTCACTTTTCCCAGGCCTGGAACACACAACACTCTACACTGAGAGGATAACATAAGGGAGAATGGCCTACTTGTACAAATATGCAGTCTTGCTCTGTCATGTTCCATACACACACAGTGGTATGCTACAGGTATATGAGCACCCTGAGGGCACCACTGCAGTTGAGAAGAAACTGGGACTTGCTGTTCCACAAGAATCCCTTTTGCCACCTTTCTGGAAGTGATTTAGGTCAGATTCTTCTTCCCGTGAGTCAGGTGATCATATTATGAGAAGAATACTAACAGCTCCCGGGTGGTATGTGACAAGAAGGTTGAGGTTCAGTCTACATACTTTAAGAAACAGTACTTACTGGAATCAGCTTTCACTTTGTCCATTTCTCCCAGCAGAGTCACTTCTCTGTCCATTAAACTAGAAAAAAAAGAGAGGGAGACACAAGGGGTGCGGGGGGTAATTTTTTTTACTACTTACTCAAAGACAAGAGGAATGCTGACTGAGGCAGAGATTACGAAGCAAATCTAATAACATTAAACCTAAACAGCATCGATGCATGACAATGCAAAATGACAAAAACAAAACATTTAGTACAATGTTTAAGGATTAAAAAGGACCAGTTGGTAGTAGTAGTGGCATCTAGCAGTGAAGTTGCACACTGCAACTAACTGAAACCTGCTCGCATCAGTATTTGATGACCTGGGAATGAGAACAAGCTGTGAAGTGGTTGAAGAAAATAAAAAGGTGGCCACTATCTAGAGCCAATGGGCTACTGCAGTAACACGGCATCTCTAAGTCTCATTCTAAGGCAACAAAAACACAACAATTCCTACATTCAGGTGATTATACACTAATGAAAACATAACAATGAATATTATGTTCCGTTTCTGCCAATAGATCCTCCTAAATGTTACACACTGGACCTCGGTGACAATCTGTGAATTTACACAGAAGTTTTCAGGTTGGGTGAGTAGAGTAAGTTCACTGCGGTTGTTTGTTTCTTTGGGGCGATTTTTGTCATTTTGTGTTGCTAACTGAATGTTCTGCCTATAAAGGATGAGTGAGAGCCACTGCAAAGCGACAGTTATTCAGCGGCACTGAGCCAAAGAATGAGTGAGAGGAAAAACAGCATGTAGAGCCAGAATATTTTCACATCTAACATCTAAATTAAGGGATGGTAGCGAACTTGCCGCTACCTACTTTGTTTACAAGGAAACTCCATGTGGGAACTTTTAAGACCTCAGTATACTTTAAACAAACTGCTGGTTGGATTGTCTGACTCAGTGTCCCTCTCTTGCCTGAAATTGGGGAGTTTGCCTTAGATTTTTAGTATTTTTCCCTATAGACAATCTTACAGTCGCACCCCTTTACACAGCAACTGGCCAGGTATGCAGAGGTGAATATGCACGAGTCTCCCTCAGGCTCTGTTTTTTCATTCTTTACACAACTACTTCCGTCACATCTTGTGTGTACAAACAAGGTCAACAGCATGACTGCCTTCAAGGAGAGACGGTAAGTGTAATGCAGGAGGCTATGATGGCAGGCTTTTTGTGCGGAAATTAAGTGCTGCAGGGGTGACGTCTTTTTGTAAGCCAATCCGGTTCTTTTGACAAAAAGGGACTTTTCCATTCGGTTTTGGATTATTGTACAACATAAGCTCTGTGGGGGAACAAACGTTTCTGATACACATTTTGTTCAGCAAGATAATCTTAAAGGAACACCACTTGATTTTTGAGGTGTAAATACGCTCACCAGAAGTAAAAGCTAATGTTAGGCTATAAAACTATACTGTGGTTGCAAGACTTCAGAGTCAACTTTAAGTGTTCTGCCTGCTGAGGTTTATTAATGTCGCCGACAACCTTCTTAGTCTCATTTAGCCACTACGCTGTGATTCCAGATTACTTTGCAGCCATCTGGCTCGTGACCACAACTTGTTTTCTGGCCAAACCCAGAATTTACCAGCATTTGGCGCTTGGTCGGTCTTAATTTTGGACCCTGGTGGAGGGACCCTTCTGACCCACTTGTACTGTTCTAGGTTAGATCCATTAGTAATATGTACAGTTTAGTGACTGCTTACAGCTTAAAAACAAAATTAATAAAACTGCTAACAGATTTTGTTATCAGTTATAACACTACACTCTAGTTTTTAGATAGTCTATAATATTTTCCCTCTCACACCACAGGAAGGAAGACATACATACAGACAGACAGACAGACAGACAGACAGACAGACAGACAGACAGACAGACAGACAGACATACATACATACATTACATACATACATACACAGGCTCAACAGTCTCCAACAGTTTCCTATTATGCAAAGCTCTGTCCCAGTGTCATAGAGTAGGACAAAGGTAAGCACAATGCCCTTTGACTTACTGAACTGAAACCTATAGCCACTCACTTTACCCGCTACATTAAACATACAACATGAACAAATATCAAGGAACATAAACAGCCCTTCTTGACCATTTTGTTCCAGGAACTATGGATGCAGAGGGACTAAACTCAAAAACTAAAAGTCCATTTTGTTTGTCTGTTTCCACTGCAACCGATGAACCATGAAGATTAAGCAAATTGCACCGATGACTGAAAAGGCAGCGTCCGATATATTGCCCGACTCTGATGTCTGAGTTGAATGTAACGAATGATTGAAAATTAGACAAATACATCAGAGGAGACAGAAAACTCACTTTGTTCTCCCATCACACCCTTTCTCTCTTTATTTTACTTTTACTAGTCAGGAGCCGCAACAACAAAGCTAAACTTTGCTTTTAACGTCATTAACAAAAAGGAATGTCTGTCCTTCCCTCCACCTGATATTGTTACTAGAGTACAAGTTGTAGTGGGTGTGGTGTCTGACTGATCAGTGATTGTCAGCCCTATAAACCCTGCCCCATAAGTTCCTGATTCCATTAGAAAATACTGCACCAGGAACTATCATACAGGAACTAAATTCAGTTCCTCAAAAGGTTCTTGGTCCCCTGGGAAAGCTCCTGAAGTGGAAAACAACCTACAGGGTGTTTTGTTATACCTCACTTTTCAACATGCTACAATATTTTATAACCTTAAGATCAACTACAGCCATGACAAGAGGCAGATTTTAAGTCACGCACCAGCTCTGGAGCTCAGCAAACGTCTGCTTCATCCTCTTGATTGAGGAGTCCATCTCCTCCTTGACCACCATCCTGTAGCGAGTCAGTGAGGCAGTGCATCTCTGCAGGTCCTTCACAGAGCGGTCAATGTTGGAAGCTGAAGGGGCAGACAGCACACATGACTTGGTGTTACATGACTACCACACAGATTAGATTTTACCCGTGCCTTCGTAACACCTCACAGTTCTCAATCAATCACTGTTACAATAAACAACGTGCAGGACAAGATAATTTGGGAGATAAGAGGTACAGGTGACTAACCTATCTTCTTAACTCCTGACGATCCTTGCTCATCAGGGGTGGGTGTTAATGAGGAAGTGGGTGGATGTGAATTTGAGCCTGGCCTGTGTCGGTTCTTGTTTCCTCTGGGACCCTGGTGATTCCTTCCTCCTTGCTGTAAGGCGGGACTTGGAGCGCTACCTTGACTTTCTGCTTCTGCACCTGTGAGAAGACAGATTACTTTACAGCAAGTAGAGTCAGTGGTTTCTAAACTAACTTTCCCAAGTCGGTCAGCAGCAGAGTATTTGTGTAGGCTGTTTTTCTTTTCTCCCCGCCCCAAAAAAACAAGAAAAAAAATCTTAATTAAAACACTTCTTTTAAGAAAGAGAAATGATATATAGCAAAAGATTACATCACAATATCTCAAACAGAAAATACATTTGGACTCTCTATTTATCGACCTGATGAATGGCACCTGTTCATTAAGAGTGGCGCATCCATGAGATTTTATCCTTACTATAAATAATGCAAAATGTAATCCATAAAAATGTTACCCCAGAATAAAGCAAGAATTTCCTCATGTTGGAAACAGTAATCATGTTAGGGACCCCAAAACAATGAGGAAATATTACTACTGCTGTCAGCACTGTACTAAAATAAAAAAGAAGAAGTTTGATATGTAGATTAAATGGTCAATGACTTAGATGGAAGGTGGTCAAAGGGAACAAGTAGGGGCCAAAGGTCTGAGGACAGAGGGTGTCGTATACTGTACAGACTGTAAAGCCTCTTGAGGCAAATTTGTTAGTTGTGATATTGGCCTATATAAATATGACAATGACTACTCACAAGGCTAGTAGTGAACTGCTGCAGCTGGCGAGCAAATCAATGTTAATGTAAAAATAAAAACAAAGAGGGAAGATTAAACTCTCTGATCTAACAAGCTTACCAACAGTTAGTTAGCAAACACAATTTCTCTAGAGTTTTGAGAAGAGAGTCATCAGCGTTCTGCTCTCACTGTTGCAGCCTTCTCTTCATTTCACTAACAGTAAGCTTCAGCCCAATATCCATACTAGTCCTGGGACTGTTTTTCATTTAAACGGCGATCAGAGCAGACTTTTATATATCCATATTATCTATACTGATTGGAGCAGGTAATTCTCATTCCAGCAAAATAATAACTTAAAATCCTTCAGCCCTTCTTTCTTTTGCCTTTATCACTTCACAGATCTGTCATTACCGGTGGTTTCGGATGTAGCGGGTTCAGAGTCCAGCTCGGCTGCATCCAGGGAGGCAGAGTCCAACTGTTCGCTCAGAGAATCCAGTGACTCTCCATCCATTACTGATCCGTTGGCATGAAAGCCGTTGATCTCATCCTTGCCCTCCTCAGGCGATGTGGTCTCAGGTGGCGCAGGGTCTGCTGAGGCCTCTGGCTGAGGCTTGGGCTTCTTTTTCTTCTTGGGCTGGACAAAGAGAGAAATGAGTGTAAAAACATCTCTGTTCATATTGTCTTTGTTCATTATCTCTAACCTATTCAGTGCACACACAGACAAATGTTTTGATTTGAGCTAAAGCTGAAAAAACACTGCCAAAACTGGAATAAACAGCTTGTCAGCATTCAGATTAACATGTCACTTCTCTGCCTTAATCCGTAGTTTACAAAGAATGACAGGCACTTTGCACATCTAATTTTAAAAAGTACAGCAATTAGTTTCAAGAATCTAAAAACTAGGTCTGACATAAATATGCTAACTCAACAAAAGAGACATTCAAGAGGCATGTTCTCACCTTCTTTTTGCCAGTGACATTCCACTCCTTCAGGATCTCAACTGCACTACCTGAGGTACAAAGCAAACAATGATGACAAAAGGTACACACTGACCCACTGACAGACTTGAAACTTTTTAACACATATCTGAATGCCCTGAGGCGTTGTTTAGACACCACTAAACGGGAAACAAAGCAGTGTGACGTACGGGGACAACCTTCTCAGGCTATAATTAAACTCGTCAAACTAAAAAGGTATGCAAATGACGCTCAGGCTGGTGAATGCAAAGCATGGCATGCGTGACAAAAAATTTTTTCCTCAAGGTCACGTTTTGCACAAATGTGGGCGGCATGCCAGGACAAAAGGGGCTGACTAAAATACAGTATTACAGAAAGTATTTGTGGAAGCAGATATGGTGCATCACATTACACTAGCATACATAATATAGGTCATCTTAAATCTGTCTTCGTGTGGTGCAATTACCACTGTCTTCAAGGCCCAATTGCTCTAAAATATGCAATACTACCAGTTTTATGGTACAGTAACTTCGCTGTAAGTTCCTATAATTTCCCATTGACGTCCTCATACCTTCTAAAAAAGCTTGAACGGCCTTGTCAACACAGTTCTCAAAATGCTGCAACACCAGCACAATCTCATTGTTACTTTTGTTGGGGACAACTGCCCGGACAGCACTGATCTGTAAAATAAAAGCAGAAAAGTATGAGAGGAACAGGTTTTAACATCATCTCAAAAGTGACTCAGCATTTACTGTAAATTCCTAATGGTGTTTTTAACATTTAAATAACATTTGCCTCAAGGACACAGCCATGTCCTTTAGTTCTTATTCATAAACTACAAATGTAGAAATACACAAATCTTTTATTTACTGCAAACAGAGAAAGACATGTACACAAACCAGAAGCTAATAATGCAAATAATCACAACTTTATCATTTTTATTTACTATTAGTATTTTTGGACAGGTATCAGTAACAGTTTAAAACCACAATATTTGTTAGCAGTTTCGGCATTAATTATTCACTGCCACTTGCGTTCAGTGTGGCAACCCCACAAAAGATTTGAATTAGAAACCAAAACCCAAATAACCTGCCATGAAGACATTATGACTCCACTGTGAAACTCTGTACAGCCTTCTTTTTATTCAGTTGCTCCATTATAGATTAACAGATTTAAAGAGGATGTGGCTCATCATGAGATTACATTACAGGTACAGTATACCTCTTGCACAGTCATTCATTTTTCCCATGAAGACTTCAGGTTATATATTGTGTTGAGCTATTTAACATCTCAGTAACTAACAGACATTGATAAATTAACACCCATTTAGACAGGAATAACCCAAGAGTCGCTCGTAGCGCTACATTTTTCCTTCAGCAATACGATATTGTTGCTCATGCTCCGACAACTTGCCCTCTCCTGTTTATTCTTGCCAAAAACCAGCTCACTGGGAAACGGCTGTGCAGAGCCCACAACTAATGAAACTCAATGTCGAGGCTTAGGAGCAAATCAACCAAAACAAAGAGAAAAGTGTTTAAGTTCGGGAGCAGATTAGAAGCTCTTGATGCTACGCACATGTTGTGATTTTATGTTTGAAATTTAACCCTCCAGTAAAAACCCGCAGGCTCTCTGTGCCAGTCGTGTGTAGTGTGTGTGTGTGTACGTCTTACCTTCTCCTTCATCCTCTCAGCTGTTCCTCCCTGGGACATGACCATTTTAGAGCGAGTGTCAAACACCACCCCAGACGTATCTGGAAAAAAAAATATATAAAAACATCAAACTCCATTGTTTGTTCAAGCCTTGAATCGTATTTGCAAACCACTGTAGAACATAATTTGCAAAACAAAACGGCCGAGAGATATCTTCAGAGATTTCCTGGAAAGAGTAGTCGATTACATTTATGAATCAATGGAAGATCTGCACTTGTGAAGCCGCTTCGAGCAAAAAAGGCTGACTCAAATACCCATGTTTATCTTGACTATAAACATATTTTCAACCTATGAGATTACTGTATGCATTGTTAGTATTAAAATCGCCACAAAATGAGAAAATGTCGATGCCAACATCACTGTACATTGTACTGTGGAGGTGGAAGGATGTGTTATCTAGGCATATAAGCACAGCCACTTCAGTTAACAGCACAAGCAGCAAAGTCTGAACAATGCGATTGAATCTGATTTGAATTTACTAAAAACCAACAAAGTTTTGTCTGAAAAGACATTCTTGCAAGAGGAACAAGTTCACGGTTTCTGTCTGACTCAGTCAGGAAACAGCTGCATTAAGATTTGTTAAAACAAAAAAAGAGATAATTTTCTGGTTTAAGGACATTTCTTTAAACAAAAAAAAATAAATAAAAAGATAAAAGATAAACAAAAGGCTACAGCTGAGTGTGAAGAGTCGGGGTAAAGTACAGAGTTAATCTATGTCCATTTAAAGACAAGACAGAAAGACGGGGCCCTTGTAAAAGTTGTTTTTCCACCAGCACAAAAGTAGGTTAATGTCACCGTAAATGTCGACAGCATTTCTCTATTTTTTCTTCTCCATTTACAATTCAAATCCACAATTAAAGTATCTGTTACACAACACTCAGTATTTTTAGGACTACTCCATTAGACTCCATCTGAAAACAATTATGCACAATTTGTTAAATAACTTCCAACTGTGATCTAACGTAAACCTTTCTTCAGCTGAATGCTGCAGCCTTTAAAAACACAGATGACAACAGCGTTGTACACAAAACATATACAATATTATTAATTAATTAATATTAATTAAAGAGTTATTAAAGCAAATACATACCCTTTTGGCTGTTCTTCTTCGCCATGTCACACAGAGGTATGAGAGAAACGCTTGGTCATACACTTCCTCAAGACTTTATTAACCCTTCAAATATGTTTATGCTGGTGTTCAAGAAAGGGCTCCAAGTGTGATAACCTCCTTTTTCAGTTCTTCTAGTTAGAGAAAACGCCAAAAAGGCTCACAACTGCCAGGAGGGGGGGTTGGAAGAACAAGGTTCACATCAGGACTCCACCATTTAGGCAAAGATTCAGGTTTTCCTCTTTTGCTCCACCAAGTTGATCCAAATCTGTGGGGGAAAAAAAAAAAAGAATAAATCAGCTGTGTTACAGGAAACAGTGATCGAAAATGGTTCTGCACCATGGTCCAGAATGTAAGGGTGGGGGGAACTATATTCAAAGTAGCATGTAGCAACAAAAAAAAATGCACAGATAAAAATCTCCACTTCGTCGAGATCAGAAAATATGAATGCATTTCCTCTGGCTATAAAATATGAATGAAAAACAGATTTCAATAAGTTATTGTCTGCCTGGAAAAGCGTTCCTCGAACTGAATCTGCAGTTAATATTGTCCTTGGCAGAAACACAGCATTTAGTTTGAAGGAAAAAAAAGTTAGCAGGACTGTAGAGAAACACGTCTTTGAAGGGTATTTCCTTTTTCCCCCCTCCATCAGTGCTCTGTAGGAGTGGTGGGTGATAATGTCATGACGGTTACACAGAATACTTACCAAGCCTTCATGGTAAACGGGCTGATGATGACTGTATATCCAAGAATCTGACACGTCGACAAATTATTTTCATAGGCGTGATCGAGAGCCAACGCAAATATTTTGGATTTCTGTGCAGCCGAACTCATAAGCGATGACACAAATGGTTTTGATGATGCCAGTTGTAACTGAAATATAAAAAAGGGCTTTGACTATGTGCCTTTTGGACACGTTTCTGTCTTGCAAAGTGCTTTTAATTTTCATGACACATTTTTTTTGTTACTGTGAATTAAACTGTGAATTAGCAACCAAGAAGCTGACAAGCTGTCACACTAATAATAATAATAAAGAAAGGAGTTGTATCATCCCACTGAAATCTGTACATCTTTTTCTAGGCATTCCTGATTCGTTCTCTGTTCTCAAATGAGTCTGCAATTTGTTGCTTTTAAAAAAAGAGAGACTTTTATTCTGAAATTCTTAAATCAAAAGAAACCACCAAAGTAAAAAAGAGGATTTTTTTCTTTTTTAATAAAAGAGGAAAACGTCTGCAAGCCTCTAAAACAACCTTGGATCGTCTGGAAAAGATGCCATCACCCTGCTGAACAATCAATACTCTGCTGATACCTCAAGCTCTTTTTTACAGACTACAGCCAAACCTGAGTCTACTTTAATTATGTCCCTTCTAGTCTTAAAAATGCTTCAACCAGACTTCAGCAATCTGGACTCATTTTTATGGGCCAGCTGTTTCCCCCTTTTTAGGTTTCCCTTTCTGAACCTGGTTCTCTAGAAAGGGAAACTTAGAGACTTGTACAAACCCACACCCTTCTGATTAGGACCTTGGCATGCCACAGTCCTGGTTCCACCACACCTTCTGCAGACGTCAAACTCACACAGGCAAGGCGACACTGCAGCAGCCATTCACGCAAGCACAAGGATGCATTATGTTTATCAAAAGGGATGGTGCTTGAATCCTCAAGGGAGCCAGGTGCACTTGTTGATGCAATGGAGAACAAGTGCCAACTCAGCACTCAACACAACAACCAAACTGACTGAAAAGTTTGTTTAAATTGAAGAAGTTGGCAAATGTAAAGACGTTGGTTGTACATGTGACACATCTAGGCGGAAACCAAGCTGCATACAGTCAGTCAGTCAGTCAATCTCAAACGAGACTGCAAGTCACCACTTTTCACGCAGGGCTGCACAATATGATGTGACATCTGTTAAGAAACATGTTATCTGTTTAGCAAGATTTCTAAGGAAGGAGATCTCTACAGAGATACAGTACTTTATTAATAATTATTAATAAGGGTAATTTAAGGGGGTTTTTTTGCGATATAATCTCTTCTCCTGGAAAAGAAGCAGCATGGAAACAGTTCAAAGTGTTTGTAGGTAAAACAATTGTGTACTTTTGAAAATCCAGGCTATAAAACTAAAACAAATCTGAAGCAGTTCATGTTACAGCTAGAGAGAGAGAGAGACAGAGAGAGACAGAGAGAGAGACACACACAGAGACAGAGAGAGACACAGAGAGAGACAGAGAGAGAGAGAGAGACAGAGAGAGAGACAGAGACAGAGAGAGAGACAGAGAGAGAGAGAGACACACACAGAGAGAGAGAGAGAGAGAGAGAGAGAGAGACAGACAGAGAGAGAGAGAGAGACAGAGAGAGAGAGAGACACACAGAGAGAGACAGAGAGAGAGAGAGAGACAGAGAGAGAGAGAGAGAGAGAGAGAGACAGAGAGACACACACAGAGACAGAGAGAGAGAGAGAGAGACACAGAGACAAGGAGACACAGAGAGAGACAGAGAGACACACAGAGACAGAGACAGAGAGACAGAGAGAGAGACACAGAGACAGGGAGACACAGAGAGAGAGAGAGAGAGACACAGAGAGAGAGACACACAGAGACAGAGAGAGAGACACAGAGAGAGAGAGAGAGAGAGACACGCACAGAGAGAGACAGAGAGAGAGAGAGACAGAGACAGAGGGGAGAGAGAGAGAGACAGAGACAGAGGGAGAGAGAGAGACAGAGAGAGACAGTTTAATTTGACTTTAAACATGATCTTCCTCTTATTATTAATGTTACTATTATTATTTATCAGAATCAGAAGTAGGTTTTCACATATGAGGGGATTTGCCTTGTTACATTGGTGCATAATAATCACAATCAAGTGAAGACAAATGTAAATAAAGAGAGACAATAAAAGGAGCCACTATATACAAATATAAACATAAAGAGTGATATAATATTATGGCAATATTAGAATCAGAATCAGATATATACAATACTTTATTGTATTTATATTACAACACAATATATAGAGAGAAATAGAAAATGTAGACAGAGAGAGAGAGACAGAGAGAGAGACAGAGAGAGAGAGACAGAGAGACACACAGAGACACAGAGAGAGAGACACAGAGACAAGGAGACACAGAGAGAGACAGAGAGACACACAGAGACAGAGACAGAGAGACAGAGAGAGAGACACAGAGACAGGGAGACACAGAGAGAGAGAGAGAGAGACACAGAGAGAGAGACACACAGAGACAGAGAGAGAGACACAGAGAGAGAGAGAGAGAGACACGCACAGAGAGAGACAGGAGAGAGACAGAGACAGAGAGGGAGAGAGAGAGAGACAGAGACAGAGGGAGAGAGAGAGACAGAGAGAGACAGACAGAGACAGAGGGGAGAGAGAGAGAGAGACAGAGAGAGAGACACAGAGAGAGAGACACACAGAGACAGAGAGAGAGAGAGAGACAGGGAGAGAGAGAGACAGAGGGAGAGAGACACAGAGACAGACACAGAGAGAGACAGAGGGAGAGAGAGAGAGACAGAGAGAGACACAGAGACAGGGAGAGAGAGACAGAGAGAGACACAGAGACAGGGAGAGAGAGACAGAGAGAGACACAGAGACAGGGAGAGAGAGAGAGAGACAGAGACAAGACAGAGAGAGAGACAGACAGAGAGAGAGAGAGACACACAGAGACAGGGAGAGAGAGACAGGTCATTTGTAAAGCATCTTTAATGTGAATGGTGCAGATTCAGCCTTTTCTGCATTAAGTCAAATCAGCTGCCGTACATCTATACAAACATTACCCAAATGTTACAAAGCTTCCTCCCCCTCCCTCCCTCCCCTCCTCCTCCAGCCTCCCTCCTTCAGCAATCTCAGGAGAAACAACCTGAGCTTCTTTTAACGACTAACGTTAAACTGCCATCAACATTTAACTCCGCGTTATTAACGTTAGCCAACTTAACCCTTAAAATGGATCATCAAAACATGGACCCTCCGAAAACGTTAGCTTATCCAACCTGTACCTAACCTATCTGACTAACTTTTAATTTAACAACAACAGTCTCTCTTTCTTTCTCTCTCTTTTCGTTCACATATTTTGTCTCTAAAGTCCGGGAGGCTTACGTTAACGGCGGCTCGCTCACATTACCTAACGCTAGCTCACTGTGTGATTAGCATTAGCTCCGCGTTAACTGACAATTTACAGCCGTTAACGTTTAAAACGACCTCCTAACTCAACGTGACGCAGCTTTAAGTACCAACACCGTCTTTATGGACGGACCTTGTGAATGCTGCTTTAGTGTAGTAGCTATTTTTTTATTTTTTTATTATTATTATTCAAAGCTAGCCATCCTTTTTTTTTTTTTTTTTTTTTTTTTTTTAAGCTCACTCCGCCTGCTCGGCTAGCCTGCTGTAAAAAAAAAAAAAAGCATCCCGTGTTAATGTCAGCGAGGGTTCACGGTGTTTAATTTGAATTAAATACGTACTTTGGTGTTGGCAGAGGGGGGAAAAATCCGAGCAGTAGCTTGTGGAAACGGGTCAGCGGAGCTCCGGCCGCCTGTCGTCTGCTTTAACGCCGAGGAGTCTGCGGAGTCTGCGGCGGCTGCGGACACTGTCGTCCTACACTAGACTCCTCAAACCGGGGGTTGCCAGGTCGCGTTCACACAGCCCTCTTTTTAAGGCTTCAGACCTACTTCATTTATATGAGGTTTAATTTGACTTTAAACATGATCTTCCTCTTATTATTAATGTTACTATTATTATTTATCAGAATCAGAAGTAGGTTTTCAGATATGAGGGGATTTGCCTTGTTACATTGGTGCATAATAATCACAATCAAGTGAAGACAAATGTAAATAAAGAGAGACAATAAAAAGGAGCCACTATATACAAATATAAACATAAAGAGTGATATAATATTATGGCAATATTAGAATCAGAATCAGATATATACAATACTTTATTGTATTTATATTACAACACAATATATAGAGAGAAATAGAAAATGTATATATTGGTATATATGTAAAAATAAACAATAGAAATCGATAGAAAAATAAATATAATAAGAGCCTGTACATATATATATATATATGATACAAAAATACAATATATGACAATATAGACAGAAGTCAATGTATGCTACAGTATGTGACCAACAGATATGAAATAAGTAATAGTAGTGAGATCATAATTATTATTTTTTAATATAATATAATATACATATGTACATAGAAGCAAAAATACATACACCTCCATACACTTCCATATGCATAACACACAACAAACAAAGGAGGCTATTCCAAAGTCTGGGAGCTACAACTCTGGATGTAAAGTGAGAACGTCACGTGGGACAGATAGAAAGTATTGATTAGATCACATATGAGATTGGCTCTTTTCTTGAACTTGTACTTGTAAATTCAGCTTTTTTTGATAATGTATTTATGATGTTTATATCATATTATGTGCTGTCATGTATGGTTGTTGCAATTTATCCAAAGCAAATTCCTCAATAGAGGCAATGAAGGTTTTTCATTAATTCATTAAAATATTATATTTTTTTGTGTTTATCTTCCACCGCTAATACTTTTTACATTAGTTTCTAACTTTACACGAAGAAAGTCAGTATTCTTTCTAACCACTGCCACTATCAACAGTGACAGTATTAACTGTATTTTGTATGGTAGCTGAAGAACTGTATGCAGCTCTGCCTCCGTAAAGTAAGAAATGTGATTCAGTGAGGTAGAGCGGGTCGTCCACTAATCAGAAGGTTGTCGGTTTGATCCCCTGCTCTCCTGCTGTGTGACAAAGTGTCCTTCAGCAAGATACTGAATCCCAAATTGCTCCTGATGCTGTGCATTAGTGTATGAATGTGAATGAGGGAGTTAGTTGCTGTTTGTGATGGGGTGAATGTGGCATGTAGAGTACAGCACATTCATTTATATTTGATTTAATCTCTACCAAAAACCACATTATTTTGTCTTTTCTCCAAATGCATTCATAAATGTGAGCTTCACAAAATAAAATACATATATAGAAAGTCAAAAGGCCAAAAAAGTAAATACAAAAACATCATTCAGAGAGACATCATTCATATAATGATATAACAATAACTGTGTGATGTTTAAGGAAAAAAACATTAGATCAGATAGTACCAAAGGCTGAATAAGGCACATTCACAGCTGTAGAGTTAACTGGTATCTTTACAACTTGGGAGGATTCATGCGTGTGGTTGATAAGCATAAAAATGGACATGTAATCCCTGAAGACACCCAAGTGGAGCTGTGTCATCAAATCTTCTAGTAACGTGTTGTTTTTGACAAACATATGCAAGGCCAGTAATTGCACAAAAATACACCTGTGTGTTTTTGAGATATTACAAACTATTTGAATGTTTATTAATGTTTGTCAGATCAGCAACCCGAACCCTCAAAGTCTAAAAGCCCACTTTAACCAGTTTTTTTTTTTTTTAGCTTTATCAACAGGCATCATCAGTTGTTGTTAAATGTCTAACAATGACTGACATCACAGTTTCATTCATCATTCTGTCTTCAGAGCTAAGATGTCTGAATATAAACAGCCTTAAGACTCTCTAAACTACTTGTGTTATATCTTAATTAAACCCCCTTTAAGTTGACTTTTATTTTACAAGTTTTTTTGTTTAGGTTATTGGACTGTTTTTCCTTTAATCTCTCTTTTCTGTTATATATGTTTATTATATATGCTGCTTGGATGGATTTATTGTTGATTGTTGCATTGACGATGCCTGTTTGTTACTTCAAGAAGCTTAATAAGGTTTAAAAAAAATAAAATTATATTATAAATTATGTAATAATTTGCTGAAATTAGGGGCCAGCTACATTTGAATGAAAAATCTAACATTAAATTAAGTATAATCATACAAAAACTGAACATCGTTGTCCACTTTAAGTAAAAAAAAAACTGTGCAAACCTGGCAACCCCGATGATCCACGTCGTCATTTCCGAAGTCGAAGAAGAGGGGTTCGCACGGTTTACTGCCTCGCACCGCCCGGTGAAGACACAACACGGCTCGGTGCTTAAGGCGTTCATGTCTCCTCCCTCCTGCGCGACAGACAGCCACTCTCCGATAACCGTCCGCAGCTGCCGCCATGACGGCTCCCACCTCGAGGGAAAACACGGCGTTGAAGAAGTTGTAGTTTAGCTCCGGCGAGGGGTCCAACTGAAGCTCAGCGAGGAGGGGAGGAAGGGAGGTGGAGAGGGAGGTGGAGGGGGGGGGGGAGGAAAGGGGGGAGACACCGCCGTCAGAGCGGAGCGGAGCAACACGTTACACCAAAATGGCAACCCCGTATGTGGAAGACGAATCCGGTAAGCTGCATGTGCCCGAGCTTTTGTTTAACGGAGGACAATCCTCTCCGGTAAACACAGGCAGCCACAACCGGAGGGGGTTCCACGAGTTCATGTTTTTATTTTTGTTTTAAAATCCGCTGTATTTATTACCGATAGTAATTCAATAACGTTATCGATTAGTGTTTTTTTTTTTTTTTTTTTTTTTTTTTGCGGCTAACTAATGCTAACGGCTAACTTTCCGCCGTCGCTGCTTGGCTCGTTGTAAGTTGATATAATGTGGATGGTGTGTGATATAGTCAGTATATTATACATGTAGGGACACATTTCTGTTGTTAGTTGTGTAATCTAGTGTGTTTTAATCAGCCACATTACCTTTTTTTTTATCTTTTTATGTGAGTTATAACGACCTAACTGTAGCAACATTAGCTGTCTATCGTGCTGTAGCTGGTTTATTGTGAATGGTTGTTGTGTTCATAATACTATTAAAACTACTAATAATAGTTGGAATAATAATAGTTTTATTTATGTAGTATGCTTTGACAGACGCAGAATGACAACTGTGATACACGACGTATGATTTTAATATAAAATACTGACCATCAAGATACTATAAGAGCAGAGTAGAAGCCTTAAAATAAATAATCTAAATAAATAAAATAGATGGATATTAAAGTAAAAGTGACTTCACATAATGGCAAGTCTTCAAAAAAAAAAAAAAAAAGGGGTTTTCAGAAGTGATTTAAACACCATCAGGACACAAACAAGTAGAAGTTATAAAGGATTTTGTATATTTTGTATGAAGATTGTGTGTTTTTAGTGTATTATTTGCTGTCTCAGAAAAGAAAACACTAACATTAGTTAGTAATGCGAGTTATTCAAGCAGGTGTAGGTGTTTATTTTGTTTATTTGTTCATTCTCAAGTTAGAAAATGAAGATCAGTTCTGAATATTGTGACATCCAACAGTGAGTTAAGACCAATAAAAGACAAGTAGAAGCAGGTGATGAGTATAAAAACATGTATAACAGTATTTATGCTTTCATATTTTATATATTCAAATTAAATGTCTGAGAAGTCGAGTTACTTTATCGCAGTGCTGCAGGAAAGAGATAAAATGCAATATTGTCCCAAAGCTGTTCTGCTTATTGGTTTGTATTATTCCTTGCAATTGTTTAATACAGTGGTTGTCAACCTTTTTGCTTTAACACCCCTTAAAGTAAAGCAGTATTTATTTTTTTGCAAACATTAGTCACATGTTGTTGTCAGGGGGTTTTGGACAGTTAAGAGGACTGAAGAGGGGAAAACTGTGAAGGATGTCACAAAAAAAGAGCAGATTTTTAGAAAAATAAGCAGGATTGGTGCTACAGATTATTTTTTTCTTCTGTCTCCGATCTTGTAAAACATCTCATGACCCCTCAGATTTATCTTGTGACCGTGAACAACCAGTTTGGGAACCAGTGGTTTAGTATACTGAGAGATCTTTAAGGGATAGCTGCTACAGTATGTATACACGGTGTATATTGTCATATTGCTCACCCATACTATGAAAATATATCACAATAATCAGAATTATATGATGCATACTTTGAAATAACGTTCATATTGAATCAGTATTTCCCAGATCAAATATTCAATGTTGACCTAAAGTTTCTATGCTTTGTATAACTGTAATGATTCAGAGTGTGAGACCGTATGTGTGTGTGGACAAAGGGATCGAAGTTACCACAAACACACACTCTCTGTGAACAGCTTGTCATCCTGGTGATGGGCAGATGAAGCCTCATGAAGCTTTGGGGCTTTTCTTTGTGTTTATACCAGGAAAAAGATTTTAAGCTTTGAGGCTTGAAACTCAACGTGTACAGTGACATCTGGTGGTTTTAAAAACTCACAGCAGCTGTTGAATGAGGCCAAAACACAACAACACCTGGCTGATTTCTTATAGTTTCAATCCAATGTGCACAAGCCTGTGTGGTGTGACAGTCTTGTTCAGAAGTGCTGCAGCAGGTGCACATATTATTGTGCAGTATGCTACGGTAAAATAATCAATGTGTTGTCCAAAAAGCCTAGATATCAAATATTTATGTTGACACAAATGATTAATATTCTGTATTAGTGTGGTTTCACTGTGGGCTCATGTGTCTTAACTTTGTGGTCGATATTTATGTGACATTTCATTAAGTTGCAATGTTGTGTGATTGGAGAAGTCCTACCTTTTATTATTACTACTTTCAGTGTACATCGCCATAGCTCTCAGATATTCTCCACCAACATGCGGCTCACTTTAACACATTGTGTAGCTGCAGGACTTTGTGATGTGATGTTTACAGTGTCAGACAGTGTTCTTCATCTGACACCAGCTCTCTCACAACACAGTCAAACAGTGACAACGTGGTGTTATCAGCCCCCACAAGTCAAATCGAAGTGTGGTCGTTTCCGGTTGACCAGAAATTCCCCGTCTTGCAGCATATTAAAAAGAAAGACATCATCTCCCAGGCAGCTAGCAATAACATGTCTACTTTTGTAACACAGTTTTGTGGTAATTTGAGTTTTAAAATGTTCCATATTTGGCAATGATGTGTATGCACTGCATTATGTTAATGAGGGGAGATGTACAGTGTATTTAAATCAGCTGGTTGCTGACTGCATAGCTTCCACTTCTGCTGTCCATTTTAAAAATGTGTTTATTGTTAGTATTTTTTGATGGGGACAGCACACATTAATAAATAGTGTTAATGGCCAAAAGGTTATTTTTCCATCTCTAGTCATTGGACAGATGTTACATTGTCGAAAAAACAATACAAGATTAACATTTAAATAGTTATAGAAATAGTTTATAAGCATGCAGAGCAATAATTTCACTATCTGTGACGTAGTTACCCCCCAAACCTGTTACAGTTACATGATCAACTTTTTTTTTTAAAATGACTAACCTGTGTGTGTATGTGTGTGTTTACCTTTTTACATGTTATATTTTGTTTTTTCTCTTCTGTTGTTTTCTTACTGACTTGTAAAGTGTACAGAGACTCTCTGGGTCAGGATGATCCGAACCGGGGTCTGTCATTTCAACACAACATTGCAATTATGTCTCAGTTTGACAAACCTACGGAGGAATCGAGTGAGCACTATTTTATCATAACAGTCAAAAACAGCAAAATTTATCAGTACTCTTTAAAAAACTTTTGTTTCTGTTGCTCTTCAGGGAAGTACATTGCTGCCACTCAGAGACCCGATGGGACCTGGAGGAAGCCGAGGCGGGTGAAGGATGGTTATGTCCCCCAGGAAGAAGTACCAGTGTAAGTGCAGTTCTCATTTCCCTACAGTTGAACACAGAACATATAAATCATGATGTTATTGTGAAACCTGTAGGGGATTGCAACAAGCAGGGACGCTCCAATCGATCAGAACGGGCCTCATGTTCACTAGAAATGACAAATATGCTTTGAGTGAAGTGCAAAGTCATATTTCTCTCACTTGAGTCTCATCTTGTGTGTTTGCTTTCTTGCTGTTTTTTTAGATATGAAAACAAGTATGTGAAGTTTTTCAAGAGCAAACCGGACCTGCCGCCCGGCATGAACCCGTCCGAGGGAGCTCCGTCAAAGCAGCAGCAAAAGATTCCTGGTTGCGGCGACAGTGACGCCGCTGGCCTCTCGAAGTCTGCCAAACGCAACATGAAACGCAAAGAAAAACGAAAACAGCAGCACCAGGGCCCGGACGGGGACGTGGATGTGGATTCGGTGACCGACGCTGTCGAGAATGTGTCCATTTCAGAAGCTTTTGAGTCAAACAAGACGCCGGCGCCCGTTTCTGTCTCACCTGCCGATGACTCCTCAGCAGCTGAAAAGGCCAAAAAGATCAAAAACCTGAAAAAGAAGCTGCGACAAGTGGAGGATCTGCAGCAGAAAGTGGACTCAGGGGAAATAAAAGAGCCAACAAAGGATCAGTTGGAAAAGCTGGGTCGGGCGCTCGCCATAGAAGAGGAGTTACGGCAGCTCGAGCGTGATTCTTGAAGCACTAAAGGAAAGCGGAAGGGTTGGACAGACTAAACATACAAATTACATACTGAAAGACAGGGAAGGGACCTTTTGCAGCCATGTGATCATAGCTTCCATTAAACATATTTTGCCTATTTGATATCCATTATGAACTCTGGAAGTGAACACGGTCCCGGCGCCTTTCAAGCTGAGAAACGACAGGACGTCTGACGTAAGCAGGACGCCGCATCTTCAGAACTGACGAGCCTGAGTTTCTAGATCCAGATCTCTAAATAATGTTGTGACTCCTGCTCATAGACTTGCACTGGCCAGACCACTCATTTATAAATATCTTTTAAAGACATGATGAATTGTTTTGTGCGTGTCTGTCCTCTCCGTTTTGTACCTTTCATGGCATCAGGTATTACACATAAAATGGAAAAAGTATTTTCTGTTTAAGAGAATATAGTTTGTTGACGTGTCTGCTTTAAGAATTAACACAATGTTTTTGTCACTGATTGGATGATTTCTTGTAGTTGCACTAATGTTGAGCCACTGTCCATACAGTCATTACATTAATTAAAACTACATGCTGCGGAAAATGTTTATCTCATACTGCTTTTTATTAGTACAGGGAACAAGTGCTCTGTTGAGTAGCCTGAATAACTGGGGAATGGTTTTGGAAGGAAGAATGTACAACATTGGGTATTTTTAATATAAGTTATACACTTATAATAGGGATGTAAGAAATATATAGAAAAGTATTGATAATAGATATTTAGTTCTGTGATATTGTATCGATTTTTGTGTTTAAACCCACAGCTGCAGTGCTGGAAACGTAAACTGACGGCTATGATGTGGGATGTTACAGGGACCGATAAATACAAATGAAGATCCCACTGTTCTGGTTGCATAAAGAAGTAAACTTATTTTACTCAGATTAAAGAATTAAAGGTTATTTTACTGTTATTTACAACAGCAGGTTGTAGGATGACATTCAGGTATAGTTCCTTTTATGCTACTGATTTTCTGGATGGTTTTAATCACACGCTGCAGAGTCCTGTTGTCCGGGACTGTGCACATCCCATGTCAGTTTGCGATGTTTCCAATCCGGATGCTTTATTTCGCTCCTCTGTAAAAGTTAAGAACTCGGCACAGAAATGTAGTTTTCTGTGTTTTCTTACCCAGGGTGGAGATATGAGCTGACCATGACAGACTCTCTGTGTCTGTCTGATGTTAATTCCCAGGAACCTAAAACTGTTTTTATGCATGTGGTGGTGTGTGTTTTTTTTTTATACTATGACAGTTTCCCTAAAATTAGATTTCAAAAATTGCAAAATATATCACCCTGCTTTCAGTACAGTAACAACACAGTGTATTGACTCGTAACTCCTGTACCCTACTGCCAGATTCTAGCAGTTCGTATACAGGAAATCAACATACTGAACAGTTTTATAAGAATAAGGATAAAATACATGCACCATGGAGATCCATTAAACTGCGACATAGGATGCTGCTACTAATTAAACGAACTAAACAAATATAAGCTAAACTGTTTTACAAATATTTTTTTTTCTGGATCTGTCTCACCACCATACAATTTATTTAAATTAAAAATGTAACCCTTTTCTTTTTGTTTGGGCATTGCTTTTAAGTTTATTTTAGTGTACTGACAGTATAATTATAACTATAATAATTTTATTGATAAAACATTTTTGAAGCTGAAGCACAAAGTGGTTTCCAGATTAAAGGACATCCCACGTGAGTCCCTCATATAAAGAAATACAAAACCAATTAAAAACATGAGCACAAATGTAGGTGCAGGTGCAAAATAAAAGAAATAAGTTCATATAAAACCAGTTAAAATTTAAGTAAGGGCAGATTTATAATGATCTCATATAAAGAAGATATATAGAGGCCAATAAAAGAACAAATTATTGAATTTAAAACAGATGAAAACACAAAAAAACTGCTTTGTCAGTTTCCCAGTTTGAACATGCAACAAACTTTTAAAAAATCTGTTCCTAATTAGTGCGCAGTTTGGAATTGGGACGCAGCTTAAGGTTTTGTTCCGCTCCAGCTCAATCGGCCAATAACAATCAATCGTTAATTGGCAAAAGAGGAAGGAGTTGTGCTACGCCTGAGAGGCAGAACCCAGGGCAGGAAAGCACCCAGTTAGTTCACAGATAAAACACAGCCTCTACTGATTGGCATCAAAATTGAACCTGGTGGTTAAATTTAGATAATTGTTTGAAGCATGTGTGAGCTGAGTCTCTTTCTCATCCGTCTGCTCACTTTTTAAGAGCCACAGCCAGAAACAAAGGAGGCGTTCTCTGTCTCTATTGAGGAGACGATTTGTAGCAATGGTTACATGGGGGCGTCATTGCCATTGTTTTTCCTTGAATGGTCTCCTACATTGTGAACAATATAATTAGCTGTTCTCTCATGAGGAAGTGTGGTTAGTTGTTTTCTTCATAGAGCTGTACCCGAGACGTGAAAGAATGTTTAAGATTAATGTTGTTTCACAAATATAAATCATAAATGAGCAACACCAGCGGTATTTCTGGTACATCTGGCACACCTTAATTAATGCTGTCTGGAAAATAATTCACCTTCAAAGTGTTCCAGCTCAATGAAAGATCAAGAAAGTGGGTTTTCTTTTCACCACAATGACATAACTGGTTATAAGTCATCACCTTTAAGAGCTGGTGGGCACACCAATCTCCTTTTTTTAACCGTTAATAATGAATTTATTTGCTTCCTTTGACGTAAACAAAGTTACTCGGAAGTTATTCTTAAACGCTTCAAGACAAGTGGCTCTGAATGATGGTAAAAGAAGGCGTGATTATGCTGTTGGTGTCTGAAATATGTTTTGTGTTTTGTCGTCCACACATCACATTCCTTGTAAAGGTTTATTATGTGGCTTTGAGGCAGGTCCTGAACAGACACATGATGGTATAAAAACTGAATCCCCAAACTAAGACACCAGCTTCCACCGTGGCACAGGGAACTCAGAAGGACTAATGCACAGAGGATGGATGTAGATTAGGATTTTGTTTGTTAGTTGAGAACTTGGTGTTGGTGGTTGGATCGAGTTGAGGACGTTTTTTTATTTTTTTATTATTGCCCTAATAATGGAAAATCAAATAAAAGGGAAGAGGAGACTGGAGTTCATGGTGCTTCTTGTTTTTCTGACAACAGCCTCATCCGTTGCCCAAAGCAGAGAAGATTTTACAGAAGCGGTGGTAAGAAAATTTAAATACAAACAAAATCTCTGATTTCTTGGAAGCAGTCAAACAAAGTCCACAAATTTCCAATATTAAACCCAATTTTAATATTGAATTGCACATTTTTACAGTTTAAAGCTGCCTATTGATTGTGACTATGGAATATGCATGGTGGCATGGACACTTTGAATTTATGCTGCAAACAATCAGGTATTTGAAAGTTTGCTTGGAAAACCCTCCACATGAAAATATTTAAACTAAAAAACATTACATTATTGTGGCACGTTAGTAAAGCATTGAATAGAAATAGCCAAAGGTGGTATTATAAATCAATAAATCAATCTTCAGACATTTTTCCAATACTCTTTTTTTTCATTGAACTTAGGCCTATTGTTTATCCTAAACTGTGGCCATAACACATCATTAAATTAATTTCTGTTTTTTAACACAATATTTGCAAATTGAATCTAAATTAATGTGTTAAATTTGACAGCATTTGACAACAAACTGGGATGTCCTGTCCTCTAGATTCACTCTCAGAACATTAGAATCAAATTAAATAGATATACAGTTAAAGATCAAAATCTAAACTCCACACTAAATCAAATAAATTAGTTTTTCAACAAGAGGAAAAAAAAGTTTTCAATTGTAAACCAAACCATAAATCATTGTGATGTTGCTTGTTTTATTAGGATGACACAAGTCGATCAAAGCAATCAATAAAATGGCTTCCTACACTCCTCCATGCATTTATTTTACAGACATAGTAACTAATTACTAATTAAACACACAATCAGTTCATAAAATAAGTAAAATACATGTAAATGTATCAATAATGATGATCCAGTTATATAATAATATTATAACACTGACAGGAGTGATTCAGCATAATGAGTACTTTTACTTTTATTCTTTACATAGACTTTTGTTGCAAATATTTAGTAATACTTTTACTTACAAGTACATTTGTGAATAACTGACTTGTGTTGGTACTGTAAGTAAATGACGTGAATAGTTCTTCCACCACTATCACAGTCAGTTCTCTTTCTTTAGGTGTATTTAAGGAAGTATGGCTATCTGCACATCCCACTGGACAGTAAAGGCCAAAACCATTCACCCGAGGAGATAGTGGAAGCCTTAAGGTGACCATATTTAATTGATTTTAACAGTTTATAAATGTAGTTTAACATATTTCCGTCTGTTTTTACCTTCACCCTTTTTGTCTCTTCTTCATATGTCAGTATCTTTCAGAAAGCGACAAACCTGCAAATCTCAGGAAAACTGGATTCAGCCACTCTGGCGATGATGAACAACCCTCGGTGTGGTCTAGAAGACTCTTTCAATCACAAATCTCTCAAATATCGAGTCTTGGGTGGGTGACTGCACTCACATATTCAGATTCTGTTACTGCAGTGTTGTTTGGTGTAAAATATCTACTAAAAAGTCACTTAAAGGTTTCCCTATTTGAAAAGGTTACTGGCGCAAGAAGATGCTGACCTACCGCATCTATAATTACACTCCTCACTTGAGTCAGGGGAAGACCCGTCTGGCCATCCAGAGTGCGTTTAAGTACTGGAGTGACGTGTCGCCTTTAAGGTTTAAGGAGTTGCAGCAAGGAAGAGCCGACATCAAAATCTCCTTTCACAGAAAAGACAAGACGTGTCCAGTGCCCTTTGATGGGCGAGGTAGGAGCAATAAAAACTGGTGTTAAACTGATGAAACTGAACTAAAACTGTGAAAGGTTTTGTGATCTCAGTTGTTAAACCTTTGATATAAGCTGACACCTAAAAACAAAGGCAGACGAGATGTTCAAGTATTTGTAGAATTCTTGCTTTATCTTTAGGTCATGTTTTAGCCCACGCCGACGCCCCAGAGTCAGGCATCGTGCATTTTGACAACGATGAAGTGTGGACAGAAGGGAAGAGCTACGGCTCCAACCTGAGGATTGTTGCAGCCCACGAGATCGGCCACGCTCTCGGCCTGGGCCACTCGCAGCACTACAGCGCGCTGATGGGACCTGTGTACAACGGATACCGCTCAGACTTCAAGCTGCATTCAGATGACATACAAGGGATCCAGGCTTTATATGGTAATGTCATAAAGCGTCAAATTGTCAGGGTGTGTGTGATCTCTAGAGTTCAATTCATGTAATGTCCTGTGTTGTCCCTTTTTCAGGAAAGCCAGAGAAGACTCCTCCATCCAGAAAGCCAAGTCCAATAGTTCCAGCAGGAGTTGTTCCAGATCCTTGCAAGGCTACTCTGGATGCAGTAATGTTGGGTATAGAGACCTTAATGCTGTCAGACTGCACTTAAAAAAAAGATATTCTTTCAGTAATTTCCCCAACTGAGAGATCTATCTACCTGCAGCTATGTTTTCTCCTGCATTGTGTCCCTGCAGGTCCTTTGCGTAAGACATACTGTTTCAGTGGTCAGTACGTGTGGACGGTGTCCAGCTCTGGCTACAACACTCCCATCCTGATCTCTGCACTGTGGAAGGAGCTGCCAGGGAGCCTCAGTGCAGCTGTTCACTCTCAGCGGACTGGCAAGACCTATTTTCTGAAAGGTGGATTAATTTAATAGTTTTTAAACAATGAGTGCATTGCACACTGTCTTGCTTACTGATGAAGAAATTATATTTACACAACAACCTGTATACCATGTATACAGGCAGCATGACAACACTGCATATACATATATGCCGATCAGCCATAACATTATGACCACCTGGACACCCTGGTGGTCATAATGTGATGCAATGAGCCTTGGCCTACAATGACCCTGTCGCCGGTTCACCTCTTTTCCTTCCTTGGACCACCTTTGATAGGTACTGACCACTGCAGACCGGGAACACCCCACAAGAACTGCAGTTTTGGAGATGCTGTGACCCAGTTGTCTAGCCATCACAATGTGGCCCTTTGTCAAAGATGCTCAAATCCTCATGATGCCTATTTTTCCTGCTTCTAACACATCAACTCTGAAGACAAACTATTCGCCAGCTGCCTTTGCCTCTGTTGGATGATGTTGCTCAATATTTTTTGGCATAGCTGTACTTTGTTGTACCTTCTTTCTGTTTTTTTAGTGACCGACCGGTGTCATGTTTGGAGAGGTTCAAGGTGATCACCTGACAACTAATCACTGTAGTCCTCTGATCGGATGATTAAATGATTAAGACAGCTCCTATATGTGTATATATGTATATTAAGTGTTGTCATACTGCCTATAAACCGGATCAAGGTTGTAAACGCTCTGTTCCTCTGTAGCACCAGGAGATTTTTTTCTATAGTCTCGAAAATCCTCATGAGGGTACTTTATGTACAATGCTGGCAGGAAGTATTGTATAACCTTTCCACTGTGCACATGTTCTTTCACAGAAGACAAAGTATGGAGATACAACGGCTTCAAACTTGACCATGGCTACCCCAAACTCTTGACCAATATCCCTGCTAACATTGACTCAGCCTTGTACTTCAATAAGAACAAAAAAATTATCTTTTTCAAGGTAAATGCGAAAGATCATATTTGCTTGGATTTATTGTGAAACATAGGTTTTTTTAATGTTTAATGTTTCTTTCACTTTCCAATAAATCATTTACTCGTTATTTTCAGGGCTCTGGATATTGGCAGTGGGATGAAATTGGCCCGACAGACTTCAGCTCATACCCCAAACCTACTGCCCAGCTCTTCCAAGGGTTGCCCAGCAATACTGATGCCGCACTAACATGGACAAATGGTCATATATATTTGTTTAAAGGCAGTCAGTACTGGCGTGTAAACCAGCAATACCAAGCAGTGGAGAAGGACTATCCTCTAAGCACTGACACACGCTGGATGCAGTGTGACGACTGAGCCACCAGAGGTCCCCAGGGATTCAACACAAACCTTAACTGCACAGTGATTCAGTATTAAAACAGCCAGAGATGCTTATTTATTAATTGTACCCTGACAAAAATAATCATATAGCTACTGTGTGAATCTCCCAAGTGAGGAATTAGAGTATTATTATCTTTTTGGGCAAGGTTTCCATGAAATCAACAGCAGAATAAGTATTTGTTTCAGCTTTGTGGCAATAAAATATTATTAATTAAAAAGTAGCTATTAACAATTAATTTAACATACATGTGATATTCCTGTAATAATCATAACTGCATAGACATATTCAATCAATTGGCCTTTTTCACAGCAGATATTCTGACTGTCATTGTAAGAAGAGCACAGATGTTACTAATGTAAGTCCATGACAGTGTACCAGGACCCCGAAACTGAACCAGCTAAATGGAATTCGACCATCATTAATTTTATGTGTCAAAATGTCTTCACATTGCACGTGTTTTCACCATGTTTTGTTCCACTCACATCTTTGTCATTCTTATGAGAATACATAAGAACATATACCTAAAATCTTAGACGAAATAAACTCCTAAGCTGATTATGAAATATGTAAATCTTTGTCTTGTTTTCATACTTTTACATACATATATACATAAATCAATGCTTACTGTCCTGTTGAAGCTGCAGCTAATTAATATTCAAACATGAATATCTGGAAGCTGGTTTTCTTCTCTGCTGCTATTTCTTGATTAGTCACTTGCTGTTTCTTTCCCTGCATGTGTGTTTTTTTTTTTTTTTACACACACTTTTTTCCTATAACTTGTAGATAACTGTGTTACACTGTGTGAATATATATTGGTAGATGTGAGCTGTTCAGTTTTGTGCATATTTATTATGTTCTCTATATTAACTGTGTTAGATATAGGTTTCTGGTGCATTTTTAGCCATAGGGGCAACAGATGGAAATTAGCTGTCTAAGCTCACTCTGGCTGATTTACTGGCTGAGTTCTTTTCAGATAAACTAATCAAATTAAGTAAAATTAGTACATAAACTTCTGTGACCTCCGTCTAACTTCAACCTGAGCAGGCGTCTAATCAGCCAGAGGAAGTGATAACGCCTGTGTGGGTGTGCAGGGCCTTCAAAGGATGTTTGCCAAGTGAGACTCTGTAACTTTTGAAAGATGAAATAACACATTCTCTCTCTTTCAAATGAAAAGATGAATTAATAAATAATAAAAAGCACAGTTGATCAGTTAAGTGCACTCTGGGGGTTTTTTGCTGCTGCAGCCTTACTTGGTTTAGTATGACCCTTAGCTAATGTTAGCAAACTGTATTGCAACTTCAGTTACTGAGTCGTGACTCCTCTCTACTTTCACAGTGTTTTTTGCTTTAAAGGACCAGTCTGTAGGATATAGTGGCATCTAGCGGTGAAGTTTCCGATTGAAACTAACTGAACACTGCTCATGTCTGTATTTGAACACCGAACAGGCTGTGAAGTGTTTAGGAGAAATGTGAAAGGCCCTAGAGCCAGTGTTTGGTTTGTCCGCTCTGGGCTACTGTAGATACGTGGCGGCTCAATATAGCGGCTCAACATGGCAGACTGCATGGAAGGTGACCCGCAGCATCTGTAGATAAAAACAGCTCATTCTAAGGTAATAAAAAAACAAACACTCCTATATCCAGGTGGTTATACACTAATGAAAACATAACTATGAATATTATATTATGTTTCTGACAGTAGATCCTCCTAAATTTTACACACTGGACCTTTAAAGCAATAGTTTCCAACCTTTTTTCTGCAGGGACCTCTTTTCTACCCCTGACTAAGTGACATATTTTATAGATTTTTCATATTATATAACAAATAAACTGCACAATGAACCCAAATAGTGAACACAATTACTGCAGGAAGTTTGATTAAAACAAGTGATTTGGATGAACTTTGAGCAGATTATTTCCTGTGAATATTGATCAGAGATTAGTTTTCCTGATAGTTTTAGGAACGTTTTAAACAATTCTCTGTCTGTAGTATGTATTTTTAAAATGATACATTACATACATAAATAGCATCTAAGCAAAAAATGTTGCCTTCACAGAAATTAACGAAATGTTGAGATACATTCTCACTCCCCTTAAAATCAGGAAGGCATCCCGACCCCTCGGTTGGGAACACCAGCATTAATGGACATTAATACAAGACAATACTCCAGAAACAGTGCATTATCAAGGTGGTATATTCCCCATTATTCTCATGTAGATCCTTAATTTAATTGCATATATTGGTATGAATTTATTGTTTATTACAGTAACACTTGAACTTCAAAACACCCAAACTGATCTAGACACATGGTATATCTGAAGAGTAAAAGCTCGACTGTGAAACACAAAGCGAATGTGAGATAAACTGTTCAAAGGATTTTAATGATCACTAATTGTCTGATGACTGTGTGTGTCGTCGTCATCATTCAGGAGATGATCTCCAATCATCTCAAATCACAACGTGTGCATGTCGATGATTATCTGATGAACCGGTCAAAGTGGATTCACGCCAGCAGTCGAGATGGTTGAATTGTTTCTTCGGAAGTGAACGTTTCAAAGGAATGTTTGATTGTCAGTGTAGCAGATATTTTGATGGTGTTTGTTCCTTCAGACTGTAAAGACAGGAGAGGCAGCAGTCAGAGGCACCATGGAGCCCGTCTCAAAGTCAAAGTCAATTAGAGTGTGTGTGATTGTGCTGACGCTGCTGGATGAGGAGCCCGTTCCCATCTGGCGCTCCTGAAGGCTTCGGAGATAACTCTGAAAGGCAATACAGGAGGAAGACACATTTAGTTACTGGCCTGATCGTCTATTGTACTTTTATACAGGACGAGGATATTATGCAATCAGAGTTAAAGTAGTGGAATGTAACTGAGTACATTTACTTACTGTACTTAAGTACAAATCTGAGGTACTTGTATTTCCATTTTATGTAACTTTATACTTCTACTCCACTAAAATATTGTACTTTTTACTTTACTGCTATTTGTCTGACACCTTTAGTTACTAGTTACATTTAATACCCTTCCTGTCCAGTGAAAACTATGTATTTCCTGATTTGGTGATTTAGATTTTTTTAGGATAAAGTTTTCCTTTATGGGTTGAGAAATTTGTCCAACTTTCTTGCTAAATAAGCTCCTGTCACAAAGCTGAAAACTTTAGATTACTTAAGATAATTCCTGGTTCTTTGATAACAGAGTGAAGTGTTTCACTGAATGACGTTAAAAAAAGAACATGAATGTTTTTCTGAGTTCATGAGAATTTTACTTTTTAGAGATACAGGACAGTGATGCTACAGATATATGATGATTTTATAGAATATGATAGATTTACCATACTAAACCACCAAACAGCATATAAAGTAGTCAAAATGATCTCATTCTTAAACAGCAGTAAAATACAACTTACACATGAATGCCCCAGTAACTGACAGGGAGCATTTTACTGCATGAGTACTTTTACGTTTGATAGTTTAATTACATTTTATGATAATACTTAAATACTTAAAGCCCCTACAAGGAGCTTCCAATTTGTGCTGATTCTGGCGCTCCCTGTGGCCAAAGGTTGTAGTGTTTCCACCACGTTGTTTCATAGATGACAAGAGGAATGCAACTGAATCTGAATGAAGAATACCTGTATAGAAAGAGCCAATCCTCTGACTGATGCTCTCGTTTGTTTATGTAGGTCATATGGAGGCCAGTTAAAAACTCTGTGTATTTACGTAAGATTTTAAAAATGACACACGTAAGGGCTTTTCTTCCATCACTGGAATTTAAAACATTAATGGTGAGGGCTAAACTGCTTCTCTGAAGAAATAAAAGCTGCATGATAACACATTTTAATCTTAGCCACTGACCGGTGCCAGGACGTCTCCTGCGTAGCGTTTCAGCACTGGAGGCCTGCGTCGACGGTGTGGTTGAGGTCTTCTCTTTGACTCTCTATGTCTGTGCTTCTTGGCATGTTTCTTCTGTTTTTTGTGTGAAGCTGGGAAACATCCAAAGGGAAATCATGAGTATATAATATCCCAGGAGGCTTTGAGCTCTGGGAGGGGGGGGCATATTTAACATAAAAACAGCCTGAATTTTAATGCATCAGTGGCTGTATATTTCATTAAACTCACCTTCTATGTGTGTTACTCCTTTGGCAGTAAACCTCCATTGCACCAACACACCTATCAGACTCATAACAGGCCATATCCCGGTGGTCGCCCAGTTAAACCAGCAAAATGGACGTGGGGCAACTTGACACAGCATATCATACACCTGATCTGGCAGCATGAATGTCCCCAGCAGGTAATCCACACACAGCATCACAGTGGTTGCTCCAAATGCAGACGTGTAGATGATGATGAACAGTTTCTGCCACTGAAGTGTGAAGACAGCAGTGACAATGCTGGCAGCCAGTACGGCACTGAGAGGCACCCACAATGGAGTAAGGCTGTGAAACTGTCCGATAACCACCAGGATGGAGAGGCAGACCAGGCTCCCCAGCTGTAGGCCGCTGAGGAGGAGTCCCATAGTGGACACGAGCATGGTCATCAGCCCACAGAGCACGCCCACGCCCAGGCCGATCCCTGCCTTTGTCTCTGTCCCCAGCTGGGTGTCCAACACAGGCTCCTTGTGGTACAAGAGGAGTACGGCCGCTGAGCTAAGCATGAAGCCAGAGAAGAACATGACCATCTTGAAGCAGCGGTATCCTAAAAAGTGGAATAAAAACAAAGGTTATGATTATGAGTTTCAAAACTCTTAAAGGTTATATGCATGATAATTAAAACTTTACTATAGCAGCAAACAACTATTTGCTATGTAAAGAATAATGGAGTCATGGTGTCCTGAGCAGAGAATTTTGTCCCTCCCTTTGTGTCTGATGCTATCACTCCCGCTCTCCGCTTTGTTTACCAATGCGGTCTGGCTGTGTGTGTATGGTAGTGGATGTGAGTTCACCCCATTCCCGACTTAGTAGAGCGACTGAAACTACTTTCTAATCTACACTGCTGAATTAAGACTTTTCTTTCATTGCTATAATTTTGACGAAATTAGCACACGGACCATTTAGTAGCCGTTTTACGGCGTTATTTGATATTGTTTCATTTAAATAAGATAATAACTGATTCAGTGATAAATGTAAGTGTTGTGATATTTCTGTGATTCTGAGGCCATTTTCAGTTTTTCAAATTGTTACTCTATTATGAAAATTTAGCAAAATCAACACTGTAAAACCAAATAAATTCATTTTAACTCAAAAAATTGTTGAAACTAATTACATCGAAATTACTAATTCAATTTTGTTAGTCAAGAGAACATTCTTGATCAAGTAACTAGTAATCTAAAGTGATATTGACTTAATTTTATTCCATTTGTACTTGTTTCTGTAACTTACAAAACTAAGTTAGTGTCACTTAAAATTACTAGTAAAAGCTGCTTAATCAAGAATATTTAGAAAGTTTTTGATGTAAAACAATTTGAGTTAAAATAACTTATTGCATTACAGTGTATTTTAAAACACTGTAAATTTGTGCTGATCAGAAGCTGTAGGCTACAGCCTGTTTTTAGTTTGGATTATATAATGTAAATTCTTTAAAGTTAAGAGCTTGTATCAGAGATACACTGAGGAACAGTTTCATACAGCACTTTCACGGGTTTCTTGACTTTAACTCAAATCTCACTGAGCTACTTGGACGACCCTGCGGATGTCGATGCGTCACACATTACTGAACTACATTTTATAAGTGAGTTTGTTCCAATATAACGTCCAACTCTAACATCTGTCATTAATATTTTTCATGTGAGTAATGTCAGAGCTCAAACTCAATTTTTTGCTCATGATAGCAACATACAAAGGAGAAAACACAACTCTGACAACACTGCACTGAAACTGCTGTTTTGCTTCAAATTATTAATTATTTACATTCTTAAAATTCCTAACAGGCAACAGTAACATTGTCTGTGCGAGTTAGTGGGAACACAGCGAGTTGGCAGCGAGTGTGTTTGCATAATGTCACGTGTTTGAGGTCCATAGGACACACTACTCCTAATCACACTCACAGTTTGTGTTTGTTGGATTTTTCTCCACATATTTTCTCTGTGAAAACAGAGACAGAAATAAGGCTATGTTGAACTCTTTGGCCTTATATTGTTGTGTTTTTTTTAAATTTGGTAATACTCCCTCACAGCATTGTACTCAACACACTGCAACTGCCTGGAAGTTGTTTATAAAAAAACAACAACATTACTGTCACCTCACATGAGCTTTTGTCAGGTTTAACACAGTGAAACAAGTGAGATGTCATACAGTGCAACAGGTGGTGCTTCATTAACGCTGCCTGTGTCAAATTCAGACGCAAGACTACCCATCTGCCTCCTCCAGCTTTGTGTTCATCCACCCTAAACCCCTGGCAGCTCCCAGACACCTGCCACTGTGGGTTTTAAGCCGTCAGGTGAGCTAATGAAACATTTAGAGAATGAAAACACTGACAGCAGGGGTGTGTTGAAATACTGACTTTAAGTAGCCTGTCCTCACCTCTACAATTCAGGCACATTCGCTAATTAATATCAGTTCTGGCACCATGAATATACATACCGAAAAAGCAGTGGATGAGGCCAAATGAGAAGCAAACAGAGCACACAATAGATGGGATGACTTCATGCTTGATATTAATCTCAAGCGTACATATGTCCACCTCAGCTAAGCCAGCTCCTGGCTCCTCTGTAACAAAGAGTGAAGTGACTGCCATCTTGGAGGATTATTACTTCTACTGCTGTTGTGGTTGCTCTGGATGTGAATCCGCTTTGTTCATTGAAGAGGGGAAACTGGAATGTCCTGCATGTGGCATCCAGGGAAAGAGGAAGCTCCTGTACGAAGAACTCGTACTGAACTGTTTCCTGTTGTGCACCTGCAAAAAGACAAAGAGTGTTTTCAGCTGCCATTACAACGTAAAATGAGCTCTGTTTCCCTCCCTTGGCTGCTAACTTTAATCATCAAGTCTTATGAACATCCTGGGAAGTAATCCTTCAAAATATTACTTTTATTCCATTTGAGACGTCATTATGCTTTCAGGTGTCGTTATCTAAGTGGATATATGAGAGAGAGATATATGGCTCTTTCCTATGTGCAATTCCCCGTTCAGGAACCAGAGAAGGAAACTGGGGATCCCCTCTGAGTTTAACGTCTCTCTTTCCTGGTTCTTTTGTTTTAAGAACAGGATACAGATGAGGAAATGACCTGGTGGCTTGGTGCTATCATCATACAGGCTTATTGTTCTGGGCATGTGCTTTGGTGCTTGTTAACTACAAAATATAACAAAATCAAACAGCTCAACAATAATACAACATAGTCATAGCGACAGTCTTCTATTAAAGTAAAAGTACAAAAATATGAATAAGTACCAAAGGTAAAAGTTCTCATTATGTAGAATGGGCGATTTAAGTATAATGTATATTATATTATTGTTTTATAATAATCAATGCATCCCTTTGATATAAGCTGATAAAGTTGGAGCTAATCTTAACTTATTTTTTTACTTTGTATACTGCTGGGTAAAGCTTATGAATTCCCCCCAGCAAATCAATGGTTATCTTAACATATAAAAATGCACCATAACCATTTATTTATCATATTTTGTATTATTAATATGAATCCGCAAAGCAACTAGTAACTGAAGTTATAGTAGATACATTTAGTGGAAAGAAGAAAGTAGAATATTTGCCTTTCAATTGGACTATAAGTATACAATGGAAATACAAGCACCTCAAAATTGTTTTGTATGTAAGTAAATGTATTTAGTTACTTTCACCACTGGTAACAGCTTTGCATCACTTTAAAACTTAAATTAACCAATGTAAATAATTTATTTTTTAACTCCAGGAGACTAAAGATGTGTTAAGCAATGAACTGTGTTTATTTACTCCTCTCCTGTTGGCTCAGACTTGGTTGTCTAACTACAGTGTGTATTACTGATAGGACTTCATAAGCTGTTCAGGCAGATCCTATGGTCCAGCAAAGGGAATTAGAGGAGCTTTAGCAGGTGAGTGATCCTCCTGCCTGTTTATCTCCTCTTGTAAAAGGTGAGCGTAAAACACAAATACACTTGCACTTTGTCACAGGTGCCACATAAAGAGTAACGCTCGGTGGAGGGTGAAAAGCTACTGAAATAATTCCTTTTTTATTGTTTTTGTTCAAATTCCACTTCATGAAAAAATGTTATTTCTGTAACTTCATTCTACAATATGTGACGGTTTCATCATCTACAAGATTAAAGAACTTCCTATCTCAATAACAGTGATAAAGACAGAGCTAAATCTCTGAAAAATGAAAGCATGACAAGAAAAAAGTGTTATTTCCATGGCCTACCTGAAATGAGGCATATCTTCACAGAGTATACGTGAGCTTTCACAGAGAAAAGTATCTTCAGTTGTAGTTTTGTCAAATTCAAGTAAACGCAGCAAGACGCAGGCTGTCAGGAGTTTGTCAGGAGTCTGTGTGACTGTGTGGTTCCCTCTGCGAGCTGTGGGTCAGACTCAGCGTCCGACCTGTGCTCATGTGAACAGCTGACGCCTGACTCTGAGAGGGAGACCATCTGCTGCCAAGTCCAAGGCCGAGCCAGCTGAGAGCTCAGCTCTCCTTTCCCATGATCCTGCTGGAGCCTAGGCTCTGTCTCTGCATCATCACTTCAGAGCTTTATTTCTCTCAATGTGCCACTTTCAATTGAGGTTAAAGCTTGCTCAAGGTAAAGGGATATTGTTGTGAACCCTGTTTTGACCCCTAAAATCTATTTTATTTTCAGACTTTTCTAAAGAATCTTGTTTAATCTTTGTTATTGGAGGAACTTTTTGGTTTTGTTTTGTTCTGTAGATTTGTTAATTGTGGATAGCGTGTTTCTTTGTTGAGTGTATAGTGTTGCCTGCAGGTGCAGTAATGTGAACATCTATTTCCCCCTTGGAGGACAATAAATTGAATTGAATTGAAATAAACATACTTAAAATGAAACTAACTAAACTAAAATAAAGATATACAAGAAATGTCTTTAGTTTTAGTCTTCGACAGTTTGGTCAAATCACAACAAGCTTAAGACGGGGATACATGACTGTGAATAAACTGCCCTCACAAAGTGTTTGTATTGTAATACCTTTTCTTGCCCCCTGACAAATAGGCAGCATATTATTGTTTAAAAAAAACAAAAAACAGTGAAACTAATAAAAGCTAGACTAAAACTAAACATTTTTAAACAACAAAAACTAAACTGAATTGAAAGCTAAAAACTAAATAATGAAACATACTAAACTATAATAACTCTAGACGTATGTTCAATAACCAGAAATAGCACACCGCCATGTTTACCAATCTGGCTGCTCGTACATAGTCGTACCAAAGGGAGTAGAGAGATAAAAATGATTATGACTCACTCTCTCTATGGGCAGAGAGTTAATTAATCATTTCCTTTGGGAGAAAAGTAACACAAATAAATTCAGGCAGGGTGACAAACAAAGCCTCATAATCCTTTATTTTCCCATGATAATGTAACTTTTAGTTGTATTGTTTTCCCTCCACATGCAGTCCCTATGATCACATGCACTTACAGTACGTCTTAATATTTGAAGCAGAAAAGACATCACTCCGATATGAAGCTATAAGTCTCCCGCTGTAGTCTGGAGTGCAACAGTTGAGCCGTACAGTACATGTGTTTTCAGCAGAGCACGAAGGCTGAATTATGGCACAAACACAACGGCAAATGTCAGGGGGGAAGGAGCAGATTAATAATGACAGCAGAGATCGTCACAACTGCAGGGACACTGAGCTGCAATAAGGTTGACATCGCCAGTGAAATGGAGCTGTCAGGCTGAATTAAGTTCCTCTGGTGACAAGTGTAATAAAGACAGCTTGTAGGCTTTTTCATCAGTCAAATATGTCTTTCTATCGTCTGCTTCAGTACATCAAAGGAGAGTCTGCTTTTAAAAGAGTTGAGAGATCAGGTAAAAACTGACAAAAGTACTTTGTGAGAAAAAGGTGGAGGGATAATTTAATTTATTTTTTATTTTTAGCCACGCTACCGGCTCTAGGGACGGCAACATTGTTCTGTCAGTCGATCGGTCAGTCCACCACTTTGGTCCAGACTGAAATATTTCAATAGCCATTTTATTGACTGTCAGGAAATTTCATATAGACAATGACAAAATACCCACAAAACCAACAACATTCCCATCAGACTGAACTGTTCTTTGTGTTCAGTGCTAATTAGTTAATGCTAACACAATCGTCTAAGATGATGATGGTCAATATTATAGTCTCCCTGCCAAACATCAGCATGTTAGTTGTCATAGTGAGGATTTTCTTTTCAAAAGTTACGTTGTTCTATTGTTACTTTAACATTGTGATACTTGGATTAGGTTATTGACCTTTTTAACATGTAATTAGTAATTATATCAGATTACATTTAAAGTAACCCTCCAAACCCTGTCAATGTATTTCAGAAGCATTTTGTGTTACACTGGTTGAAATTCTCTTTACACAGGCCTGTAATAAACCCAGCCATCGTTTCATCTGGACTGAATGAACTGATTGGTTGGCTGTTTTGCCTGTCTACCTTCCTACTTGTCTACCTTAACACGCACTGCCCCTCCTCCACTCTCTGCACATGATCAGACTCTCATACAAGCTGGCCGGGCAGTTATTGTTAAAGGTACCGAGCTATAGTCGCTCAATAATGGCAGAGAAAGACCAGCCGAAATGTATAGTTCCACCTGTACCTACAACCGTTTGCACAGCTAAACAAAGCAAGAAAAGAAACACAGAAGTAGAAAAATTCTATGAACAAAAAGTCTGGATAAGGCAACAGATCAAACAATAGTAGTTTAATAATAGTTTCAACATGAACTAAGAGACAGGTAATTGTGTGGTTTGTTTTGTTTTAGGGGGAATTTGTAATTTCCCTGAACTTTGTAGTCTAACTGTAGTATTTGAGTCCGGTTTTGGACTTGAGTCTGGACTTTTCTATTGTCTCGGTCTCATTGGTATTTGCACTCAGACTCGACAAATATTCAAGTTGGTCTCTATATGTTCTTTTCTTCTTCCTCCTCCTTAAAAAAAACAAACAAAACATTTTTGAAGTGCCTTTGTCCAGAGAACGGGTACTGGTTTAGTTTAAAATCGGGCATTAACATTGGCCGCTTAGTAACCTTGGTTACCAGGTGGCCAATCCATGTCAGTTGCAAACGTATGCCTGGCTGCCAAAACTCGTTGGCAATGTCTCGGGCTTGACTCTGTCTCTCTCAGTTGAAGGGGACGCTATTCAAAATGTAGCCGTCTCTTGTGAGTTTCCCCAACGTTATCTCCTCTCTAGCTTTAATGGCCCAAAATTGCTTCTTTCAGGCTTCTTCTCTGTCCACATTTCTCCATTTAGGCCGAGCAGAAATCACTAAATAATAAACATTAACAGGGTGAGAGTACAGTATAGAAAAATCCTCTCCTCCAGGGACATATAAAATATGAATTTACCACACACTATTGACGGCTGTGTGGCTCAATGAAAGAGATCTCTGTGTGCGATTGCAGAGCCGGGAGTATTGATCACGACCATTTCACCTCTGTACATGAAATGTGTTTTCTACCTGAAGGAGCAACTGAAGAGAGGTTACAGTGACACTGATTTAGATGAATCCCCTCTGTGTTTACAAGTGATAAACAGTACAGATAGACCCATCATCTGTTTATTTATGATCATTATTGGTCATTAAACCCATCAAATGTACAAATTCATTACGTTAGACAGTGATCAGTAAGGTTTTATAATAATGTTTTATATCCTTCAGGCAGCAGCAATACAGTAATACTGCAGGGTGGTAACTGTTTTGGCCCTTCAGACATTTGTATGTAATGAATCAGTTAAAAGTTAATTGGATTGGATTAATTTTAATCCAGCACTCTAAATGTTCCTTATTTTCCATGTCACATTTTCTTTAAATATATTTATTTCATATGAATCATTTCCAAAAAATGTCCAATTAATCAGTGTTCACCCTTTTAATAGAAAATACAACACAATTGTTTAATCAATGATGTTTGCATAAATTAAAACACATGATTCACAAACTGAAAAGCTAACACTACATAGGTAAATACACAGATTTTGTTCTCATCAGTAGTTTAATGTATGGATAGTCAGGCTTCTGCTTAACACACAGCAGGTATGCATGATCACTCATACAAGATTATCACTTTTCTGAACATCCCAGCATGTTTTAAACAACAAAGTTCTTATGCTGGTTCATTCATACCTCACACAGTTTGCTTTTGCTGAGTACTTTATTTTTTAAAGAATTTAAATGTAACATCTCAGACAATAGTATTGACAGAAAAACATTCAGTGAGGCCTCAGAAAGGTTCAAAGTACACTGATAACCACAAATCAATATAAAACTGTTTGCTGTGGCTGGATAATGATGAAAGCTTTGCACATCTAGTGAAGCATTCACTCACATGTGTGCTTTATCATCACAAGCCACGTTTTTATGCTACATCCACATTTATGAACTCTTCTGAATTCTTTAAAACTTCACACACCTGGATAACGCCGTTATTATAAAGTAGCAACAAACGTTGGTGGAAGAAGCAATCTGATCCTTTACTTTAAGGTTTCAAAGGCATCTAGCAGTCTAGTCGCAGATTGCAACACGCTCACTTCCCTCTACCCTTCCAAGTGCGAAGGAGGAACTACGGTGGCTGCAAAAAAGCGAGTGTCAGTATCAGTTTGACACTCTTCCCTCAGGCTGTAGATTTAGAGGATTCTGTTCCTTGTGCAATAATCTGCACATGTAACTTAACATCTTAGAGAGTATAGTTGTTGTATTATTGTGTTCTGAATATTGTAGGTACAGGAAACATTTTTTTGTACTTTTGTTTTTGTGTGTACTGTGTTGTTTTTTATGACTGCAAGTCAAGTTTCCCATCTTTTCTGGCTCTGCTTCAGCATTTTTGTTTCTGTTCATTTAACAGTGTTAGAAACACGTGTAGTAATTTTAAAGGTACTATTACTAAAGATCTATTGGCAGAAATTTTATATAATATTCATAGGAATGTTTTTTTTATTATGGACAGATAAGAGAGTGGCTTCTCATCTAACTCTCTTCAAGTAAGAAAATAAGTATATTTCTTAAAATTCTGAACTATAACTTTAAAGAGAGCAGTATACTTATATCTTCTTTTACCAAAAATCCTATGAAATCTATTTCTAGGTGTTCAGACAGAAGCAGCTTTGATGTTCCAATTAAAAAACTGTATTATTTAAGTGATGACATACTGTCTCATGTAGGCTATTCTGAAGAGCAGAGAAGGTTTTACACAAACAAACACATACAAAAGACTCATTCAGCTCCTGTAAACATGTACATGCACATAAACAGCTGCACATCTTCAGCAAAATCACTTTAATCTTACAGCACAGGATAAAAGCTCATAAAAGCGATAAAAGCGTTGAGGACAGTTGCTTATAGCAACTGTCCTTAACCTTCATGTTGAAGTAGGTTTCTGATGCTAATAACCCCCTGATTCTAAATGACTGTATAT